GGACGTGTAACGGGAGGGCGACAACCTACAGTAACTCCTCCAGGGCCCTCCGTCGGCGGGCGTATAACGGCAGGAAGACGACCTACAGTCACTCCTCAAGGGCCCTCCGTCGGCAGGCGCATAGCGGGACGACAGCCTACACCAACCCCTCCGGGCCCTACTCAAAGACCACCTGTCGGCACAGCGACAAAAGCCCCGACGCCACCTCACCCTTTTGCGGGTTTCACCCCGACGGCACCAAGAGTAAAACCTGCCGTCCCAGGTCAGAGCTCCTCAACCGAAGTCTCGGAAGAGGAAGAGGGGAACCAGATCGATACGACGCAGCAGTCCGTCAGCAGCACCACGCCCTCAATGCCGCCGCAGCCGGGGTCTCTACCGCACCTCTCCTTCCGACCTCGCCCGAGCATAGGGGGGATGGTTCAGGGAGGGCGACGGTCGGGGCTCACACCGGATAGGACGGTCCATTTTGCGACTGGGGTGACGGTCATGGAGTATGATGATGACCCGAGCACGCCGGTGTACGAGAGGTTTAGTGACGAGGAGGAGGAGGAGGAGGATGCTCCAGCGCCGCAGCAGATTGCGGGGAGGAAGAGGTCGATCGATGAGACTGGGGAGGTGGTGGATCAAGGGGGGAGGGAGAATCCCAAGAGGCCGAAGCCTACTGTGGAGGGGGGGTCTTCTGAGTCGGAGGAGTTTTACGGAAACATGGCAGGATATTGATTGTTGGTTTAGTTTGTTTGGATATTTTGTCTTTTGGGAAAAAAACCGGTTGGGGCTATTCGGACTTTTTCTTGTGTTTGCCGCAGTTTGATTTGTTTAGTATTTTGATAGGGTTTAGCGGGGAAAATGCATTTAGTATCTTTGCGCGATGGTGACTATTTGAGGTATGTAATGTGACTTGGAACAAGATGATTGTGATTTCTCTCGTTCTCGTCCCCTATAAATCCAGATAGACGGACGGTGAGTTGCAAACTGGACATTTTCATCACGCACGTGCAGTGGAAGGTTGTCACTGTGGTATTCAGGGGTAAGTAAACAAACATTTATTCAGGAGGTGCCAAGATATCTAGCGTGGTGGAGTTGAGAGTGGATCACGGAAAAAAGTAATCGCCAAAAACATACAACACCAGGGATTCCCCAGTGGTCACCCACCTGAGTACTGATCTGGCGATACCAGTTTTATCTTTTGAGATATCTACCACCCAAATTTGTGACAGAACGAGGGCTGAAAATGGCCGCGACAGATCTTCATGTTAAGCAATTAACGGCTGTGCCCGTTTTAAATGGCGTAGCCATAACGTCCAAAACACCGTTATGCTAGCGCCACTACTTTAAATAGATAATTTTAATCCATAATATTTATATGGATTCCCGCCATCATTTCGTTGCGGGTTCACATCAGCTAGCCAACTTAACCCACTATCCATTAACCATTATCCATTAACCATTATCCATCAACCATTATCCATCAACTATTATCCATTAACGTACTTTATAAGCGAGTCGGTCATATAAGTGGGCCGGTCACTTTTCGACCGCGACGCGTCCTCCTACACTCAACATCAACTTTCTCTACAACCCAACATGCCTCCTACCTTAAATGAAGCCAGGATAATCTTAGCTCTTAAAGCTATTCAAAAGACTCCGAAATTAAGCCTCCGAGCCGCAGTAAAGCTATATAACATACCATTCTCAACCCTCTGTGACCGACGCGCCGGCCGGCCTGCACGACGCGATACTACGCCCACATCGAAGAAGCTCACTCAATCCAAAGAGGATGCTATTGTTCAACACATTATTGAGCTATGTGCGCGAGCTTTTCCACCAAGATTGCGTGGTGTGGAAGATATGGCCAACCAACTGCTACGTGTACGCGACGCGCCCCCTGTTGGCAAGCTCTGGGCATATAACTTCGTTAAACGCCAGCTACAGCTCCGTACACGTTTTACGCGTAGATACGACTACTAGAGGGTCAAGTTCGAGGATCTAAAGGTTATTACCGAGTGGTTTACGCTCGTACGGAACACTAAGGCTAAGTACGGTATCGTGGATAACGATATTTATAATTTCGACGAGACTGGGTTTATGATGGGTATTATCTTCGCGGGTATGGTGGTTACGACCTCGGACGGCCTTAATAAGGCAAAACTAGCCTAGCCTGGCAACCGCGAATGGGCAACGGTAATCCAGGGAGTCAATGCCTTCGGCTGGGCCATCCCTCCTTTTATTATTTTAGCCGCGCAGTACTACCTTACTAACTAGTATACCGAGTGCAACCTACCATCTACCTGGCGTATCGCAACCACCGATAATGGCTGGACTACTAATCTAGTAGGCCTAGATTGGTGTTACAACCTGCACCGGGAATGGATACAGACTGCAAGGCAGTACGCCAGAGGTGAATATGACAGGATAATCGAAGGTTGTGACAAGCGTCTCAGACAAGGGGTTCACTGTCAACAACAGGTCGTTCTACAAAGAACTACTTGCGAGTAGATTGTAGACAAATGAACTTGATTGCTTGCGTGAGGAGTCAGATTCCTCGACACGGAGAGCGCTGGGCGCTCCCTCCTATTTATGTGCAGCTATCTACATATGTTTCTGAAGTATCTTTGTACCTTGCTCAGTGTGCTCAGTGGTCTTGGCGGCTGAGCAGACTGAGCAATCTTTCATGATCGATGTGCTCAGTGTGCTCAGTGGTCTTGGCCACTGATCAGACTGAGCACCTCCTGATTGGTCACATGGGGACTTTGTGGGTCTTCCCATCCCTGGCCCAATGATTGGCTGAGGTGTCCCAGCACCTCGGGAACCACCCAGTGGTTCCTTCACGGGGTTATTATGCTTGGGGCGTAACAATTGGATTAAGCACTTCGATTATTATATAGCGTCCCGTATAAAGGGCAAATACCGGTTGTTAATCCTCGACGGCCACGAAAGCCATTACTTAACCGAATTCGAGCGCCACTGCCAGCAGAACAACATTATTACGCTCTATATACCTCCACACTCCTCCCACCTCCTCCAGCCACTCGATATTGGCTGCTTTAGGCCGTTAAAATAGGCGTACGGTCGCCAGATCGAGGACTTAATGCGTATGTATATCAACCATATTTCCCATTCTTACCCGTGATCTCGCGACCGAATCAGCCCTACCATGTGCCTATTGAGCTTGGCTGTTTGGCATAACCTTGGCATGTCCTCATTCTGCCCTACGGTTGGTGCAAGTACGGGTTAGTTCACATTGCCAAGCCTCAGCTATCCCTTCTTCATAATCCCGCCGAGTGAACATCATGCCAACCCTGCCGGCGCCAAGTTGGGCACACGTCTTAAGTACTGCGGGCCGCCCTGTTTAGCTTCGTTGTGGTCTCCTTCTTCACAGCCATGTCTTCATGATGGTACAAACAAACCCACATGCAGTAGCCTTTTTGGCCATCATGGCCAGTGTGATTCATCCAGCACTGGCCAACGAGTGGACTGGGTGGACTCGCACAAACTTACTGGCCCTGGCAACATCTTACTTACCAAACGGCTGCGATCCGGAGGGTACAACCGGGTTAACGTCATGCTACGAGACATATGTCCCGGGTGTTCCTTACATGGTGAAGCATACCAACATTCCCCCTGGTGCCACACCGACGAGCAGTTCAACGTACACCAACCGCGACTGGGACATTAAAATGGTCACCATCCTCCTGCCCCCGGACGCCGTCCCCCGGTCCGAGATTGACGGCTGGTACTGGTTCCGATCAACGACAACTAGGCCCCCATCTACGAGCGACCTTTGGTGGATTGACCACACCCTCACCGCCCCAGCCAGCTGCCCAACTCGATTCGAGTTCACCACATCTCATCTGCTCAGGTACTGGGGCGACCGCCTCCCATCCGAGTTCCTCGACGAGTACATGCTCCCCAAAGCCACCGTCTTCCCAGTCTATACAACCACACCCTCCTATAGGGGAGCCTACCCGTCACCAGTGAGAGAGATCCACGTCAAGCCGACGGATCTACCCCCAACCCGCAACGGTGGACTTCCTCTCTACGGAGATGCAGGCCTTTTCATATCGGATCTCAAGAGCTTCAATCAATCCTATATCACACACTGCCATCTTCCTGGCGAGCCGCGACCCTGCTCTTACACCTACGCCGGGAAGTGCAGCAAGATCGAGCCGTGGAAGATCATTGTTGCGGCTGTTATCCCGTCCATTTTTCTTCTTGGGTTCGTCGAAAGTTTCTTCTGGTTCAGGCGGTTGATGCTGGGCAAGTCGTGTCTCCGGTTGGGAACGGTGTGCTGGAATCTGATCTTCATTTTTCTCGTCTTTTTCACGGCGATAGAGGATAAAAGAAGCCCAGAGCATCAGGCCGACTTCAGGGAGCAGTGGAAGAAGATGTCACTCATGACAAAGATCAAGTTATGGGGCCAGTTTGGATTTCGGCATCGGTATCCGGTGGAGTGGTTGGGAGAAAGGAAGCCGACGGGTCGGGTCACGGAGAGTATCGAGATGACAAGAGGTGGCGGTAATGGAGGAGCTGGGAGAGGAGGACAGCGGGTGGAGGATGATGATATACCTCCAGCTTACCCTGGTCCTCCTGCGTAGGTGGCTGGTGGGACTGCTTGGTGTTGGGCACCTAACCGAAATCCGGTGTCGATGCCTGTCTAGGCGAGTGAGTCATGTAATTATGCTAGATACCCCTGCTTAACGGTTAGTTATTGAATTAGCTAGGCAAAATGTTAACTTTCTTGTGTAACGGGAATGTTTGTTTTGAAGGCGTCGACATGATTTTTTGTTTGTGGCTAACCATTGGTCAATGGATATGCAGTTATCCTCAAGCCTCTGGACTGACATCCAATAATTCCCATCCGACCACATGATCAAGGATGGCCCTTGAAGAGGGGTAAGAAGTTGCATAAAAGGAAGGAGCCCCCCAGGGTTTCCCCCTCAATCCATGCTCTAGAATCTTTCCCCCCAACACCGAACATCGCCATCACCAGACATCCTGTCATGGCACCACCAAAAACGCTGACAACGCTACCGAATGAGGTTCTGCTGCGCATCTGCAAGCTCCTCTCCGACTCACACTTTTCCAGCCTGAGAGCGCTTTCACAAGCCAACCGACATTGTTTCTCTGTTGCCGCCGCGGCTCTCGTTGATACAATTACCTTTTACATCGGTGATCCCGCTCAATTGGCCCAAGATGTTGAGAACTGCAAACAAGTACTCCAGCAGCGGAATCACAATTTATTTTCCCATGTTCGCCGCCTCATCATAGTTGGCTGCATGGGGGAGCTGGATAGTAGGCAGATCAATCCGCTTCACCCCGAATACGCAAACCGATCCTGGCATCTATCACTGCCCTGGACCACAGACTTTGACACAGCTCGCGCACATCTACACGGTTTCCTCCCCGGGTCCTCCAATGGACGCAGCGCAATCCCCTTGACTACTTTCAATTGCAATTGGGGCACATCAGTAAGTTCTATTCTAAGCTGGAAAGTGTACTCGGGTTGGCAAGGAGAGTGTAAACAGACATGGACAGCCCTGTAATAGAATCGTTCTTGGAGTCTGATATTTTCTCGTTTATTCTCGGCCGAAAAAAGGGCTTGCATCAATAGGTATTATTGAGCAGTTCTCTTATTTATTTGTTGAGAGGGTTGGTGTTGAACCACGTCGAGGGCAGTGGATAGGAAAAACTCTTTGATATGGTACCTAATCGACGGGAGATAATCATGCTTAGCCGGGGCCTACCATGCGAGAGTCAGATTAAAATAGAGATGAAGTTCAATGATTTATTTATGGGACTTATGGAACCGCACATAAGATTAACGAACTTTAGATACCTACTATCAGTATACTCTCATAAACCCCTCCAGAGGTTTGGGAATTCTAGTCTTCTCAGCTGAGGCTTTCTCTCAAAGATCAAGATCAACCCTTCTTGGCTTTGACTGAGTATTCCTGAACATTTTGAATCAAACAAGTCAGCAAAGGAAAAGGGTCCCAAAATACTTCATGTTACCGCAGTTTGTAGGTACGGTTTCCATTCAACTTACCTCAAACTGTTTGAAAAAGTCCTTTAATCGCTTATCGACCTCGGCCTTATCTCTTGTCCTCTGAGCGTCCTTGTTCCTCAGGAAAGCCAGCTGATCCGCAAGGGGGAACTTTGAGTTGGCAGGACCGTAGGAGCCCAGGAAACGAAGCATGGTTAGCATCTCATTTGACTCTGTCAACTTGAGCGCCTCCCACTTGTTCTTGTCGAGCGCGTATCTCGCCAAGTATAGAAGGGCCCCGCAGAGCCCGGAGGCGATTGCCGTTGCTACGGAGCTTCCGCTGTGTTCTGTGGGAAGCCTGTCTAGGCTCAGGTTGAGGGGCACGTTCTCTCCCGGAAGGAGGATGTCGTAGTCTTCTTTGTGTACCCAGTCGCATCGCTCCCCAGTGCCGGTTGAGGCACCGACTCGAACGCAGTGGTGACTGGCTGCCGGGAAGCAGAACAGGTGGGTGCTGTTACCTTGGTCACTAGCGGCGCAGAGCATTAGGATGCCTTTTTGTTTGGCGTTGTTGAGTGCTGAAGTCAAGCCGCTGATCTCCTCGGAGGATTTGCTGCTCTTTTCGATGGTCCAGCTCATGGAGATGATGTCGACATTGCAACGAATGGCCCACTCGATGGCCTAGAAGTAAAGAAGGGTTAAACCAACATCCTGAACCTTTCCCCTGCATAAATCTCTGGGGAAGTCTTGAAAATATACAATAAAAAGGCTGAGACTTACATCAGCCGCCGAACGCGCAGTTATGTGGCGCTTTCCGTGCACTCCGCCTGATCTCTCATCAAGTTTGGCCACGTACAGCCGTGCCCGAGGGAATATGCGTAAAATGAAAGCAGCCATGATGGTGCCGTGCTGGTCACTGGTTGAAACAAAATAAGGCACGGTTGAATCATCTAGGCCGTTTTGCGAGCAAAAGGAGGCGCCCGACACGATCTTGCCGTCGAACCTATCGAGGCAAGCGTCAATTCCGTCGTCGATGATGGCGATCTTGACTGTCTTGTCGTCGTCGGCTTCCTTGGAATCTTTGATTGAGCGAATGAACTTGCATACTGGTTGAATATCTTGCATCCACTTGTTGTCGCTGTTTTCCAGAGAAGGTGGTTTAACAGGTTAGCTTCTCCATTTCTTGTCCAGGTGAACAAGTTTTGGATACATACTTCTGGCTGCTTTTTGTGCCTATTGTCTTGAAACTTGACCTGAAACTGCGAAAGCCGGGATCCTCTGCATCGATGATGGTGATGTTTGTGATCTCGGTGGTGGTTTCGGTTGTAGGTGAAGTCTGAACAGGTGCTGGTAAGCGTTCAACCATGCCATAATCCCCATCGGGATTCTGATGGTGTTCAGTGTCAGGTTGATGGGGCTCGTGGGTCGGTCCTCCGTTCGTAAGATTCCCGTTCGTAAGTTTCCCGTTTGGAAGTTGAGCAGGTTCTGAGTGGTTGATGCGCTCTCGGAATCTTTTGATCTGATTCTCTACTCTCTGTTTGCTCTCTAAGCCCTATATCCGTACGTTAGCTCAATGCTTGATGTAACGGAACTGACGTAGACAGCAATTACCATATCATAATACAGCAATATCTTTTGTAACTGCACCAGGAACACGGAGATTAAAGAAAAGTGTTAGCTAACAATTCATGTAGGGGAACTTGTCGTTGTTTAGCATGATCACGGGCAACATACCTTCCTGAACTTCTCGCGGTTAGCAAACCCTTCGTTACTGTACCAACCCAACATGGTAGCGGCATTTCCTGACCAGTAAAGCGAGACCTCGCGGACATTTGGGGCTACAGAATAGATGACATCGCTGCAGATGTCAGGCTTCTTCCAGTCCCAGATTTCCACATCCAAGTTCATCAAGGCCTGCTCGATCGCGCCGTCGGAATGTGGTCGATCGCTGTCGTCGATGACAACAACCCTCTTTATTGTGCGGACATGGTTCTCTCGTAGCCACTGAAATACCGATACCAGGTCTCGTCTGCCTTTCCCATTCATCATGGCTTCGTTCGTTTTGGCATTGGCCACCACAGCCTCAGATCTTCGCTCGCCAGCATAATTTGCGCCGCTTCGTGCATTGGAGTTTGCCTGTGAGATGGGGAACCCATTTTCGACCGGATCTGTTTCGAAGATCAAGCTCGGGAGACTAACACATATGAGAATGGATTCAAACTTCAAGTGCTTGACGAGTCGTTTCAGGTAGTCTTTGGTTAAAGTCTGGCCACGGAGCCCCGATAGGCTGAATTCGAGGTGTCTCTCTTTGGTGTTTAGAAAAGAAACGGTTAGCCCGTTGAGATATCTTCAATGACTTCGAAAACAAAAGAACAAAATAGAGAAAGAGACTTACCCTCACCAGGAGCGTAAAGAGCCTGCAAAAGATTCTTTCTATTGGTGCGAAATTTGTCGATGCAAAACAGCTTCATCATGGTGAGTATCTCGTCTGTTCCATACACCTCGGCCAAAGCCGTTTGCAAAGCTTGCTCGCGGGCCGTCTTCTTGAGTTTGTCCTTGATGGGCCCCGGAAGGCCCCTGAACTCCGTCGTCGCATGTGCTCGGTATGCTTTCCAGATCCTGCTCACTAGTCCCTCTACTCTGGTCTGGAAGGGGGTCAAATTGAGTGCCTTGTTATGTTTCTTGTCCTTATCTTCTGAATAGTTCATCCTGGCCAGGATTGCTCGAACATTGCTGGCAGTGTTTTGGATAAACTCGGATTCCATCAAGAGTTTCACCATCTCGAGCCTCTTCTCGTCAACTGGGCTTTTATTTACCACTTGCAAAGATATCAGCTCCAACCTCATGTCGGCCTTCATTGATTCATTTACTATTGTCGCCAGCGGGGGGTCAGTGACAAAGTTGATGGCCAGAGTCTCTTCTTGCCGAAGCATGACTGCATGGTGCAGAGCAGTGGACTTATCAGCAAGAGACTGCTGAGCGAAAACATTGCTTCTGCGGACGCCTCCGGCTTCGTTTCCAATCCGAGCGCAGAGTTTGATGATTCGATTGACATGCTCCGAGTTGTGCTTCACGGCGAGGTAAAGACAAGTCTCGTCGTCTCGATTCCGATGTTGAAGGATTTGCCCAAGGGTAGACGAGGGCGCAATCTCCGAGTCCTCCGGCTCGAGACCATCCAAAGCAATCTTGACAAAGGCATGGTTCTCGTGGTAGAGAGCGAAATGCAAAGGAATTGAGTCGTCCTTTTTGTATTCGCACTTGAGCATGTGCTCATAGTTTTTGAGGAGCCATCTCAAGAAAGACCTGCCGTCCCCGGCTTCTCCTTCGTGCTTGTCCTGCCACCAGTCATCCTCTGATTTATCCGCTAGCTTATGGAGAATGTTTCCGCTCGTCGAGGTTCGTTCGTTGTTTGCCGTGTTGAGAAACTCTCTGTACTTCTTCTCAAACGCTACGCTCTGGTCCGGTTTGCTAAAATCGACAGCTTTTGCGGCTTCCAAGACAGTGGACTGCTTGATTGCACCTCCGGAACCTTGAAGAGTGTTGGTAGAGAATGTTGGTTGTTCCTCGTCTCCACTGTCGTCAAACCTGGATAACCTGAACTGCGCCATTGCCGACTTTTGGAAAGGGACTTCAAGTCAAGAGTGCGGTGGGTCTCGTCGTAAAAAGGAGGAGTCTTGCCGGGGGAAAAAAGTCAAACAAGCTGATTCCTGAAGGGCAAAAAATAAAGAGCTTGACGACTGAGATGCAAGCAGAAGAACGGGAGGACATGGGTCAGACTTGCCAGGTTTCAGTTAGCATTGGACAGAGGCTTAGAGCCAGGCAGAAAAAGCTTAGCACAGTACGGAATTTCTTTTCTGTCAAGACTGTCGAGACAAAAAGCATGATCTGATTTCGTTGTAAATGTACATGTACATACATGTATTAATAATGCATATGCATATGCATATCTTCGGCCCAGGGGTCCTCGCTGATAAGGACATGGATCTTAGACTACATTCGGCACAATCTATTGGTGAACGCAGGCCAGCCTTGCTTGTCGAGATGGGGGGCGGCCTCGACCCCTCTATATTGAAGCCCAAACTGAATGAGTGGAGGAGAGTATGTCGTGATAAAAGTGGAAATCTGCTCAGTGCTAAATATGCAGTGTGGTCAGTTGAGATGCATTATCGTCTTGTGATACCCATCCCCCTATGCCACCTCTGCATAGCACTTTCATTCATGCTACAAGGCAATACCATACTCGCCTGATCTGGTGCATTTATAGACTCAGGAACATCCAACCCTCGAATTCGGCAATCAACCATACCAGCTACGGTATCCGTTGTTGTTATTATGGACTTTGTCGATATCCCTCTGTTTCCCAAGTCAGATGACGATGATTCGTTTCGGACGAGGAGGGATCCCAATCAGGCATTCGATACCGAGAATCCCACAACCATGATAACCAGAGGAAATCATGGAGGAGTTGTGAGGACCAGAGCCGTGCTGACCAAAGTGCATGCTGGGACCATCACGAAAGGCGGGCCACGCGGAACATTGTTGGTGTTTGAGTTTCGCTTCCAGTCCCCAAACAAGCGTCGATTTACAAATGCAAAGCTCATTGTCGAGTTCGAGGACAGCAGTGGGCGCAACGACTACACCTTGGACCCAGTGGTGTGCAAGATTGTGCCGAATGGCTCCTTTGCGCTGAACAGGGCTGAAAGCAAATCTGACATCAGCAAGAAGTTCACTGGCTCTCTAGGAAGCGGCCTGGACGGAATTGTTGAAGCAAGTCTGGGGTTCGAGTGGGAGGTGTCAAGGGAAATTACCAAGGAACATTACACCAGCCTGACGGGAATTCCAAGCAACGAACGCGAGGACGAATATGGGGAAGATAACTCGGCCATTTGGGAGCTGGATGAGGACGAGGAGCTTGCCAAGAAAGCTGGGATCCCCAGGTACCTCAGGACAGCGGTGCTCCTTCGACACCCTCACAACAGATCTTTTCTCGTCAAGCTGAGCGTGGAAACCAAGGTCGATTTCGGAACCGACATTCGGACCTTCTTCGGGATGGGACAGACGGAAGCTGTTGACCCAGTCAACATTGATCCTGCCAAACTCGGACAGACAGTGGAGGAGCTGGAAAACATGGCTGAGCTGAAGAGTGTCGATGTTGCATTTGCGACGCCACTTGAGACAAATAATTGAGTTGGATTGGCAGGAATCAGGAAATCCAGTTAGCAATGGCGGTTGACGCGATTCTTTTTCCAATGCTGTAATGTACAGGTATATGTACAAGTGTCTGGTGTGCGGAGAAGGGAAGGGTCCTTCCTGTCTTGTTGGGCTGACATGCAGCTGCCACCTACACTTATCAAATTCAAATGGGTGCGGGGTGTAGTTTAGCGGTGCCTGTGTACCATGCAAGGAATTTTCGGAGTGCCCAGCCAGGCTGGGCACATGCTTTGATTTCAGGAGGAAAGAGCTGTGGAAGAATGTGAATCGTCAGGTCAATTAGCCACTTCAGGCAGGCACCCAATGAATTTAACGACCTATTTTCTCCAAACACCACCTAACAATGCCGTACAGTTCACCTTTGACCACCGATCAGCTAGCACAGCCAATTCTACCTGCCCTGGCAAATAATTTCAGTTCTCCTCCCGGCATACCTCTTTAATTACTATTACCTTTCGCCACGAGAACATACCAGCAATCGGCAACCAACAATGCCATCCCTATAGTAAGTGCCAGAATAAAGAGAATAGGTATATCAGATTGACTTCTTCATCCTGCTCACAATATCTTCTCTACTTGTTAGTATTGTGCTGGTCTGTGGTGTGTGTGCTTCACGCAGTACCGCACAGTCAAAAGACACGCTTGAAAAGGTTTTCGGCGACCGCTTCCCAGAGGCCCGCATCATAGTATTTGATGGACTCCGTTCGGACAACAATCACTTATCACAGACAGGATGGGTCTGGCGGGCAGCGGATGACCTGCTTCAGCTCTTAAAAGAGGAGGTGGGGTTGCTGGAAAAGTCCATCTATAGGAGTCCCATCTTGTTTCTGGCAGAGAATGTAGGAGGGATCGTGTTAAAGCAGGCTCTCATCGAAGCCATGAGAGACTGGCGCTATCAAGACTTTGTCTGGAGAACTACAAGCTTGGTCAGTCAGGACATCAACAGCGAGCCACCAAGTTGACCTTGTATGCTGACTAGCTCACCGAGCTTCACAGTTCTTTTTCGGCACCCTGCATCGGGTTGACATCAACTCCTCAATTGACAAGCAGTTCATGCGGCTGGTTCTAGCCACAGAAGAAGAGATTCCTGATTCTCTCATCTTCATTGCGGAGTCAACAGCAGCCTTCCCATCAGTGAGCGCGCAATTCTCACAACTGCTGTCCATGTTTTCTGTTGTCAACTTCATTGAGGACGATGAAAAAGTATCGGTGGTTGGAAGGTTCTCGTCAACCTTTGGTCATGCCGCCGAGAGTAACGTAGCTGCCAATTGTAGCTATCAAGAGTTGTGGCACTTTGCACCTGGCGACCCGAAGACTGACAGGCTCTGGGGGCTAATCCAAAGCAGGATGAAAAGCGAAGGTGAGTACAACCACTGTATGCAGATGTGACTCTCCTCAAGTCATGCTGATGAGATGGCTGCAATCACTAGCATCCGAGGTTGAATACTCCATTTTCATGCAAGCACTTGCTGAAAGGGATCCCGGGACACACCTGGACGGTGTCACTGCTCAAAGAGAGCACCCGACGATGAGATGGATTGCATCACACAGCATTTACTTGGAATGGCTCGCGTCCTCAGCACCCGCCTTCCTCCACCTGCATGGCAAACCTGGCTCTGGATCTTCCGCTGTTGCGGGTGTCATCATGGAAGAAGTGGCAGCGATTCCCGACTTCCAAGACGCAACATTCGTCAGGTTCAATTCTCACAAGCAGTATATCCAAACATCAGAGACGGCCAGGATTCTTCTTTCCTTGTGCCGCCAAATTCTGTCGGCGAATCCCAAGTTATTTCGACGTACCAAGCCGCTTTGCAGGACCATGCGAGCAGATAATCTCTTCAACAAGTCCGCCGCCTGGGGTCTCTTCCAGTCCCTTCTCAACTTTCATTCAGGTCCCTTATTTATCTGCCTTGATGGAATACACAATTTGCCGCCTGACTTCCTCGAATACCTTAGCACCATCAAATCTCTAAAGCAAGAGAGTGGAGAGCCCCCGAGATTTCTTGTCACCAGTTCCTCGGAAACACTCCCCATTTTTCCGGATTCATTGAAGTCGACAATCGCAACATTGAGCCTCAGTGACGAAGCGGACATGAAGCGAGCCACCAAACAAGCCGTCCAGAGGAGGGTATTGGACATTGCTTGGCGGAATGTGCTCTGGTATGACCTCCAGAAAACGATTATCAAGACAGTTTGCCACGATTTACCACCTTATCTTGTTGCTATGCAGTCGCTGGATCTGTTGGATGTTTCGACGCCGCATTCAACGGAAGCGGCCTTTTACTTCACAAGCTTGAGCACCTTCCCCGCACACTTGATGGTTTATACTCACATTATATCGCGATCCTGTCTCGGTGGGAGCGTCAAGTTCTGGGCTGTATTGTCACGGCGGTCCAACCGCTGCGCAGTGTTGAACTTGCCATTTGTCTGTCTCTGCAGGGGGAGGAGACCCAAAGTTGGCGAGATCTACGCAGCCGGACTTCGCAGGATATCATCAAAGACATTCTTGGACATAAAAAGATACGGCATCTGGTAAAGGTCAGAGACGATAGGGTGTATCCCATCTACGAGACTCTGACCGACTATCTGCACACAAAACACAAGCAGGTCTCCAAACAGTTGCATTTGTCAATGCTGAAGGCCTGTATCAAGTACATCAGCGACCTCTACCACGATACATCTTTCCTATTGGGTCTGACCTCAACCCCTGAGCTTGGATCCAATATCACGCAGGATGCCACGCTTTCCAAGGAAGCCGGGTTTCTAAGATACGCGAGCCTGTGCTGGCCGGACCACTACAACCTTTGTCATGGTGATCCTCAAGCATACAGAACGGTTTCTCAGCTCTTTGGAAACCCTGCGCTGCGTTCCACCTGGTTCAGTCTCTATGCACACTTCAAAAGCCACCTCCCGGAAAATCTTGAGTCTCTGACATCTCCCTTGGCCATGGCTAACAAGCTTGGGCTTACACTAATTGTCGATGATATGATTCGAGGAGCCATACCGGGAGGCGACCATTCCAAGACGACCTGGTCCAACCCTCTGGCAGATTCATCAATCTCAAGCAGGATGCCCTGGGCCGATACTTTGGAGGTCAAACATCAGCTGGTCCAGGAAGTCATCACTTTTGCAGTCGAGGAAGGGAGAGCAGAGCTCATCTTTCAACTGACTTCTGTCCTATCACCCGACACGCTCGAGATTAAGGGTCACAAGGGACTTACTCCACTGCTCAGCGCAACCAGAAACGGGCACATGGACGTTGTGAATGCTCTGGTCAAGCAAGGGGCATCCTCCAAAGCAACGGGGCGAGACGGGTCGACTATCCTGCATCTGGCAACAAGACTGGGAAGCCTGTCCATCGTCAAGCGGATCCTCGAGATCAACAGCCAGCTTGATATTGGAGCAATGAACAATGAGGGATATGACGCTATCAAGATTGCAGCAGAATCGGGCTTTACTACGATTTTGGAGGAGCTCCTGCACCGGATAGATCCCGAGACCAGAAAGAAACTTGTCAACACGCCGCTGCCATCAAGTAGTCAGACTCCCCTTTTTCTGGCTGCGAGACACGGACATTCGGAAGTGGTAAAGTTGTTGCTGAAACACAAAGCCGATCCCGGCATCCACAATGACGGCGAATCGAGTGCTCTCTACCAAGCCGCCAAGGAGGGAGACAGTGACGTTTTTACCGCTCTTCTCACCCACCCTATGTACCAGAAGTTGAGCATTCACCCGCAGGTCATTGGTCCTTTCAATGATGCAGATGGGGAAAGCTCCATAGCCAGTGACGATCTTGATGCATGCCTCCTTGTCGCTGCACGATACGGGCGAGTCCCCATCCTGAAGAAGCTTCTCGAGTACAAGGTTCGGGTTAACGTAACAGGCGAAGGAAAGAACACAGCACTTCATTTGGCTGCACGAGAGGGCTTTGAACAGGCCACAACGCTTCTACTGAAGCAACACTGCGAGGTGGACCTGCGGAACGAGGAACGGCTGACGCCAATTCAGCTGGCAGCACAAAACGGACATATCGGTGTTGTCAGGACTCTTCACAAAGAAGGGAAAGCAAATATTGCAAGGGGCCCCGACCCAGAACCTCCGCTACCATTTCGGTCAGCACTGTCCACGTTAGAGATGGCGGCCATGGAAGGCCAAGTTCCCGTCGTTGAATACCTGTTGGTGATGGATCCAGCATCGGCTCCTCGGGCCCTCCAGCTGGCGGCCGAGAATGGACAAACCGCTGTGGTGCGTTATCTGATGGCCAATCAAGACCAGATTTCAGTGTCAGTGGCATGGGATGATGCAGCATGGATCGAAGCAGCCGGAGCAGCGCTCAAGAAGCGCCACCTCGAAGTGCTCAGGGAGCTTTTAACCTTCAAGTTGTCCGGCGTGGGAGAAACAGGACTACCAGCTATTTCACAAGAGTTTTACCACCTGCTGTACATGGCTATCGAGAAAAATTACGGGCCTGAGGTTCAAGTTCTGGCTGAGAAGGGTTTCGATATGAACAAGCCAAACGTCAAGAACGAGCACCCGCTCCATCTGGCGGTCAAGTGGAACAGTCCCAACGTCATTGTGCCCCTTGTAAAAGGAGGGTCTAGTCTAGGTCATATCGACGACACCCAAAAGGATACGCCCTTGTATCGGGCTGTTTCTCGAAACCACGCAGAACAAGTGGTGCACGAGCTTCTTGAGGCGGGTGCAGACCCCAACTGGAAAAACTTGGGCCAGGAGGACCGAACGCCGCTGCATCAAGCGTGCTCTGTCAACAAGGACAACTCGTTGATTATAACCTGTCTTTTGGACCACCAGGCAGACGCCCTCGCCAGAGATGATGATGGTTGGACTCCTCTCCACTACACGACCGACAAGTTCAGCCTTCCCAATGCCATCGCGCTCGTGGGTATCAACCGAGAACGCACCCACTTGATTGAAATACGCAATAACTACCAATCAACCCCCCTGGTGCTTGCTGCGGAAAACGGCGCCGTGGATGTGATGGAGTTCTTTTTGGAGTGCGGGGCGGATCCTATGCTAACCAACAAGACCGGCTCGTCTGCTCTCCATCGTGCCGCAGGAGGCGCCCACCTCGACGCGGTGAAGCTACTCATTGAGAATAGGTTCAAGACAGCTGATCCGACCATGTCCAAAGCCAACGGCATAACGGCGCTTCACATGGCTATCCACAACTCCGTTCCCCAGCTCGAGATGGTCGAGTATCTCCTAAGCAGAGATGGCGTTGATATTAATGCCCAAAGCTCCAACTTTGGAAGCCCTCTCTGTGCTGCAGCTCGGTTCTATTCGACGGGTTACTTTACACCAAAAGGCGATGGGCTGAAGCTCTGCAAGCTCCTGATGGAAAGGGGAGCTGATGTAAATTCTACCGGAGGGTGGATGTATTCTCCACTTCATATCGCCGCTGAGCATGGGTCTGCCGAGCTTGTCAAACTCCTGTTGAGTAAAGACGACACCAATGTCGACATTTTCTGGGAGGAACATGGAACACCCCTGAGCGTGGCTATCCTCCATGAGCACGAGACGGTGGTGGGAATTCTTCTCCAGAGAGGCGCTGACCTCAACATTCCACTTGATGGGGAAACCGCAGTGCAGCTTGCAGTGAGGACAGGGGATTCGGGCGTGGTGGAAACACTCCTTGAAAAGAGGCTGGAAAAATTCCAGGTTGTACAGGGTCTTGAAGATGCTCTGTGGGCGGCGGTTCGCAAGGATATGCCACAAGCTGTGAAGGCGCTCCTGGCCGAACGCAGCAAAGATCCATCCTCCACCCCAGACACAATCATTCAAGGCTGGACCATACTTACATATGCAATTTACTGGGACTCGGATGATGTGATTGGCTATCTGTTAGACAATCCCGAGCAGCACGACGCCAACATCGATCACCACAACGACGCTGGTAACGCGCCCCTACACATGGCCATCGAGAAAGGCGCAGATGAGCTGCTCGGACAGCTTCTCGATCACAAGGCAGAACCAAACATTTGCGATCGAGTGGGAAGGACCCCGCTGATGCTGAGTGCCAAGAAAGCCGATCTCGACGTGATGGATATGCTGATAAGTAAAGGGGGAAACGTTTTCAGCAAGGACCTTCGCCTACGAGATGCTCTCTACTGGGCTTGCCTCTCGCAATCCAGCGATGCCGTCACCAAGATTGTGGCCGTGATGCAAAACAAGGGCAGCGAGTGGCTCACATCCTGCTCGGCTGCCATCTTCCCCGTCCTCCATGCCAGCGAAGCAAGACAGAACCTGCTCGAGGCACTGTTCAAAGGAGAGGACATGACGGCGCGCAAAGAAGTTCTTGCCGGGATAGCAGTGGATAGGAACAACTGGACATTGGCCTACACGCTTAAACACAGCCACACACCCTCGGTCACGTCCGACACAGACTTCTTACCCGGCTGGTTCGTAGAGTATGCTCAGGAAGCGGCAGACAAAAGTAAGTTGTTGCAACCCAGGGTCTTTGTGGAGCTAACAGGTGAACAAAACATCGCAAAGACGCTTCTTCTACGGTTGAGCCAAACACTCCATCCAGGTGGGACGATGTTGATGCAGCGCACCCTCTTGAGGTGTCCCCGGATGGGCAGACCGTCACGGTTGGCCCAAAACCACTCATGACCGGGGGAGTGGCCATGTACGCGTTGATCCGCGCCGACTATTGCATACCCGCCCACGAGGATTACCAATTTGAAGTCACCGTTAACGACCCAGTTGGTGATATGATAGATGAGAGTGGCCCGTAAGTACCTACCTACCTACTTATCTACCTTACCTACCTTACCGCCTTCAATTTGAGCGAAGAGTTCAATTGTTGTGTCCCGACAACAAGTACCTTCTGTTGGATTAACTTGATTTCGACGTGCTATAGTTTTCCCATTGGAATTGGACTCTGTACGGAAAAGGTAGATCTCAACCAGATGATAGGATGGGAATCGGGTTCTTTGGGGTATCACGGCGATGACGGGAAAATGTTCTTGGGATCGGAATGGGGGCGAAGGTACGCTGATGGGTATGGTGTCAACGACACGATAGTTTGCAAGGTCAAGGTGGGCGATGGACAGAGAAAGGTCTCCTTCTTGAAGAATAACAAACCCCTTGGTAAGTGGAGCTTCGTTTTGTTCTTGTTTTGTTTCTTCCTACCGGTACCTGGTCTACCTATATGCACCTAGGTACCTACACGTACAGGACCACCCAGAACAAATGTCTGTCACGATTATAAACTACGTACGTAACTAACATTAGCCCTAACAATTGGGTTGTCAGGAACTGCTTTGGAAGGGGACGATGTGCCTCGGGGACAGCTTTACCCTGCAATCAGCATGAAGAGTTCCCTGAAAGGACTTTCGATGACGGCGAGATTTGGAAATCCGAGCGACGTGATGGGCCCGGGGTTATTACTAACACCTGATATCCAAAGCCCTGGAAGAATGAGACATGCCTCGCCGTCGCCAGCCATGCATCCTGATTCTCCTGGTGTTTGCGTAGAGGAAGTGAGAGAAGACGAGGTTGAGGATGGGGACAGTGATTACTCTTGGTAGTAGCTTTTGCATGGATCAAGATTGGGTGGAATACTTACCTCTGTAATTTATTGTCATTTCACACTTGAGGTAGTTAACCAGGTGGGTAGGCCTTTGATCAAGGGAATGATTGCTGGAATTTTGGTTAATTTCTTCTTGAGGCTATGGATTCAAATTTGAAGCAATCAGCGGATGTTACGAACTGAGACATTGCTCTTAAAAGTTAAAAGACTTTACCCCATCTACAATTTTCAAATGTTCAACAATACGGCGCGATTTATTCTGTGCCATAAATATTGGATATAACTGTGTTTTTTGATCTACCTCAGTTGCTAGAAGTTGTGATGGCTGATGGCACTTATTAGTTTACAAGCTCACATACTGACCACTATACTACGGAAGATGTACAGGTGTTGAGCACCTGTCGTAGTGAGAGGATTGGTTGCAAGGAAAAGGCGGAGGTGGTATATATAAGGGGAGTATACACGATCCCGTCCCTTGAACCACTTTTTGCGATCCGCTTCTAGCTCAGGCCTTCCTCGTCAGATATGGAGTGCAGCAGTGCAACCTTTCAGCGATGAAGTGCGCTGGACACAATACATAGGCCGGCACTGGGTTTGGTAGCCCAGTTGTTGCCTCCGAGTTATTATCGCCAAGTAGACCCCTTTGTCTTAACGTCATAACGCCCCATTCTTAACTTTCTATTAAAGCCAAGGGTTTCGATCAATAATAGTAACGACGGGTGACGGGTTGAGTCTCGGAGCTACGGAAGAATACCTTACTGTTGATGGTGGTTAGTAGTGGCGGTCACCGTCGTTATCTAGTTAAACGAGAGTAAACTGGGGACGTCGGTTTGTGTTAGGGGAAAAAGTAAAACGCCGCAGTAAGTAACTACTGCGATATATATAGGAGAACCCTATCTAAATCTACCTAGTAAGAATAGTTAAATATCCTGTATACTAAAACTATATCCGTTGAAGCAAATAGCCTCTCAAAATCCCTTTAAAAAATATTATATATCTATATAGTTAAATCATCAAGACCTAGAAAAAGAAATAAGAAAGGTAAAAAGTCGTAACGTATACCCGGGGCTTACGTTGGAAACCCTATAAACTCCAACGCTACCAACTCGAAAAAAGGCGAGTCATTACAAAGCCTTATAGTATGTGCCATCTTTTAAATACTAAGCCCAGGCTCTAACTAAACTCATGCAAATAGCGCCAAAAAGCATAAGGAAGTAGGCTGTAACCCGCTTACGACCGCGGAAGGTAGTTTAGCTATTATCACTAAGAAAGTCCTCCGTAAGTAACTCGATAAGGGCGGTAAAAACAAGCAATCCCGATAAGATAGCGTTCATAGTTCCTACTAAGATCAGGCTAAACTTAGAGTCGGGGGCGTAAAGCGTGTGGGTGGCTAGACCAATAGCTTAACCAATAGGTATCCTGAAGACGGCACCGTTAGCTTTATCTTCTATTGAGCACACCGGCTATTTAATAATAATACTTACGTATATCCATAAACTAATACTATAAACTATAGCTATAACACCCCCTTTTGCCAGTTAATAGAGGCAATACGAGTTCCTAATGCGAGACCCTTAAACGTTTTTGCAATAATATATTAGTATTTTTATAGTTTTGAGACAAACAGGAAAGCGTTTACTACTCACGGTAAAAAGCAATAGCAATTAACAAGACAACAAAGTTACCGCCGACGGCGACACTTAACGCCATACCAATAAAAATACTGTGAAACAAGATACCGACCTCGAGAAGCATGCACTTCAAGATCTTCTTCTTGTGTAGCTGCTCCTCAGTAAGGCCGACTTGCTGGGATTCCATAGCGCTCCCAAGCAGTTCCTTAGACCTCATCTTCTCATCTGGGGAAACGGCCGGGGTTTCACGCCCAACCGCCACACTCTCTTCGGAAACAGGCTCAACAACATGTAAAGATGCGGTCGTCGAGCTCGGGAACACTGAGGTAGATGGTATCGAGGAGAGTGGTCACGGTGATGTCTGGCGGGAGATGGGTCAAGTATAGGGATGAAGACTCATTCGGATCGATCGTGGCGGAGTGGTTATGGGGGTTGGTAAAGTCACCTTGGTAGTTCACTGAAGGCAATCTCGGCTCGGCTGGCTGGTAAGGGGTGGTCTGTTCAGCCTGGTAAGACTGAGGGTTGGCCAGCAGGTCTGGCTGGTAGTACTGATGACCGATAGACTGCCCTGTGGTAATCCTAGCGCCTTGGTAAGGTTGAAGACCGGCGATCTGAGCCGACAGGTAGAATTCATAACCGAGAGACTGCTCGTCAGGCTGGTAGCTGGGAAGATGTGAAGCCTGGTAAAAATGATCGGCCAAGGGCTGGTCGTGCTGGTAGAATTGCTGAACGAAAGACTGCTCGGCGGTTGAAAAATGGTGTGACATCTCGCTCTAGGGGTTTGTGAGGGTTGGAGATGGGATGGTCGAAGACAGAATCACCGCATGGGACGTGGCGCCTCCAAAACAGCTACCATCCGAGGAAGCTGGTGACATCAGCGTATAGAGAGGGCTAGAATTGGGAGGGGTCCTAGGGTTTTTCTGATCCAACACTTGGGGCATGATGCTTCTAGACAAGTATCTCTCTCTCCAGTTGCTGGACTGGGTAGCCCTCTGCTCTGTTTGGCGAGGTTCAGCCCTTCCACTGGCAGCTTGAGCATTGTAGGAACTCTCTCCTTGCCCAAGTGGTGTTAGTCTTGACCTGGGTACCTATAAAGATGTTAGTTGACAAGAGGATGGCGTCCCATGAGACTTGTGTATTAACCTACCGGAATGTGCCGGGTCGGATTTCCTTGACCGCTCATCATGTTGAAGGCTTTTCGGTTTTGCTTGAACGATATTGTGGAGGCGCAGTGTTATGGCTGCAGCCTAAATGAAGCTGTTGGATGGGTAGTGAGCCGTCAAGATGTGAACGAGATGCCGTGAAGGAGATGATGTGATGGGGATGATGTGACGGAGAGAGGGTGTGAAAGAGATGTGGAAGATGAGATGGGTTATGTAGTGTTGAGAGACTGGGTGTGAAGGTGTGAACAGACGAGGCTTTGCTGTCAGAAACCTCGCTGGCTGTTTGGAAGTCTATTCCTCAAGAAGAAGAGGAGATAGAATTCAAGTTAGTGATCAAATATATATCCTAGAAGCTCGAGATCTGTCGGTGCCACTCGAAGATGTTCACTCCCAAAGTGGGTCCTGGTTGTGATATTCACCTTGGTGTTGAATACCTCAGTCTCTGACCCAGTCCGAACTCAAGAGCAACTTGCTCTCATTCAACGCGTTAACAATAATACGTTCCACCTGTAGGAATCAGACCAAACTTCCGATGAAGTCGCCCATGCTCACTGTGGGAGCAGCCTGTGGATCAAAAATACAATTCGGATTGAGGCATTCAATTAATTGATGGAGCATGCTGATGAAGGGAATTCGGATTGTGGCGTTTTAGGACTTTGATAACAGTGTCCGTCAAATTTCACAATGTCAGTAAAGACAATAGCACGTCGAGTGAGTATTGCTCAGGGTATTCAACGAGATGGCACTCGCAATTGGGTGAATAAGGGATATATCCAGAGGCCAAAGCCATTGCCAAAGGCCATCATAGGTACTAGACACAAGCGGGTCTTCTCGAACAAGATCTTAACCAAACTGAACGCCACCACATACCTTGAATACATGTTCAAAACCTAAACCAAAGTGCTGCTGGGCACGTTGTGGACCGAAAAATGGTGACTGCGACGTTGGACAAAGGCATTCACAGACAGCGAAGATGCCTATAAGTAAATAGCCGTGGAATGTCGATTAAAACCTCAAAGTACGTTGTGAGTTAGCTCGACTGCCACGCACAAATGCGTGGGCTGAAACACAGTCCTCGATGAACACCGCACATAGTGCAAGTAGCTCAATGCTGTTGTCTGTCAGTGATGATCAGATGAACGATATATCATAGTTCAGGTGACAGCCCTGAAAAACTTTCGGACGAAAAAGGTACCACCACAGATAAAAGAACCCCACAAAAAGTCGGATAAAAATGCCGAAACCCAAATGAATCGGATTGCAACTCATCAGCTTAGTGCTTGTTTCTTGAACGAGCCGCCGAATCTTGGCAGCAAAAGGGAGGGAGCAAAATGAAGGTATCATTGTGCATCTATGATGAGTACTAAGTCGTCATGAAAATTGATCATATGTGTGCTTGGTGAGATGCTAGGTAGGCCTGAAAATAAGCAACCCGTGTCAAATGAAATTGCCATGTCCACCATGCCCATCAGGTTCATGATGTATTTCCCACGAGCCTGGAATGGTATGCACACTCGGACACGGTGGTGCTGTCGTCGCCGGCGCTGGTGGTGGCGGCCGAGGTGGAGGAGCAGGCGCCGGTGGTGGAGATGGTGTAGTCGGAAAAGGCAGCTTACTCCCTGCTGCCGCGCTTAGGTTATTCTTCCTCCGATTCAACCTAACCGTCGTCGCAGGCCTCGGAGCATAAATCACCGTGTCCGGCGAAACCGGCCTCTCGCCCTTCCCCCCAGGCATCTCCTGCATCGGATCCGCCCTCTGCATCAAAGCAGGCGAGCTCGCCGTAAAATACGAATCAGAAGCCGACGCCCTCGGAACCAACAGCTCCTCCAACCTCTGACTATCCCTCTGCGGCGGCCCAATAGGACTCTCCGGTGTCGGCGCACGACCCGGACGACTCAGCTCAGGACTCTTCACCAGCGCCAGAACAGCCGGAGCAGGTGCCTGAAGGATATACCTCCTCACCCTTCCCATCTTCCCAGACCTCATCCTGCTTGGCAAGCTCGACCCACTGATATTAGACGCAGACTTTGACGGCATTTTCGGCCGATAGCTCTTGAATCCCTGGGGCGTCGCCCGTATGGTGTTTTCACCCGTTATGCCATCCCTCCCATCACCAGAAGTGCTGTATGATCCCCTCGCCTGCTTCTCATCGTACTCCTCCTCACTGTCAATCTCCTCATTCCTCGACGACATCCCCGGGATATCAAACGGCCTACTGGCCACATGCACCACAACCATAACCACACTCCCAAAAACCACCCCCAACGAACACGCAAACATATCCAGATTCAACCTCACCGTCCTATGCCCCCCTCCCCCATGGTATATCCCCACCGCAACGGCAATAATAGCACTGCTCCACATCACCACCGCCAACCGTATCACCACCCCAGCCCAGGCATGAAGCTGGTGCTTGAAGCTCGGGATGGGAGGGTCGAAGTTGAGGTAGAGGCTGTCGCCCTTCTTGGCGGCAAGGAAATGGAGGATGATGTAAAAGAAGGATAATATCGACTGTTTGTCCCACCTTGTCAGCTACAGTCTCCTGGAGAGTGTCAAGAAATACTCACAGCAAACAGCACAAAACTCTGCGCAATTCCCACCCCTTCCCTCTTCAGATCCCCCGTGCTCTCAAATACAACCCCTGATAGCGACGCCCCGATGGTACTCCCTATTCCCATCGCCACCAGCGCCCCTAGCATCAGCCGCGGGAGCCATGTCTCCGCCTTTGTTCTCGAGTGGTAGCTGTGGCTCTCGGTGTAGGATGCCCCGCCTCCTGGCAATAACGCCGGCATCCTTTCCTCGCTTTGACGCCTGTCTACTTTGACTTTGTTGAGCTTCTCGCTGCCTAGAACAAAGTGTGAAACTTTGGGTCGATGATACGGCGATGATGCGTCGACGGCAAGGTTGCGCTGATGCCAGGCGTCGGAAGGGGATCCAGTCCCTGCGGACAAAAGAAAAATGCCCGTTAGAGTAATGAGAGCATGTAAAAAGATGAAGTATCTGCTGGGGGTGCGAAAGAAAACAGGAACTAGAACGATGAGAGGGATAGCATGCAAAAAGTGTGATCAATCATCCTACAAATCCTTCCACCAAAAAGAATGCCCCGCCACCAGAGCTGCCACCAAAAAAAGAGCACATTCTCGATGACGGCGGAAGAGTATGCCAAAGAGGCTGGTGCCCCTCGAGCTGGATATCTGGCTGGAATGCGACGGATTTGGAAGCTGGAAAACAGATGGGCTCCCACAAGCCCTAACCGAGAAACACATCCAGAGCCACAGCTGGAATGTAAGTCTGACCTGAATTGAGCTGGCTATCTTTACTCCAGGAAAACAGAAGGAGTATCACAAATAGAAACAAAAAGGCAGGGTTGTTGTAGAAATATGTCGTTATTCATTGTCCCCTTGCGTCCACAATCTTCTGCATAGAGCAAAGTTAAAAGTCTTCGCCAACCATGGCCTTCTTGGTGCCAGTCCAACCATCGCGCTCGTAGTAGCGGAAAACTAGGTCGTAATCCTCAAACTCGTGAATGATGCGGTCGATGCGGCGGTATCCATCAATCCGGTCCACTGTCTGCTTGACCAAGCTTCTCTGGTTGTCCTCGACATCAGCACCATCGCTAGGGGTCGTGGGCTTATTCTTGGTCTGGAATAGGGTGACAGTGAAGCGACCAGGTCGGAAGATGTTGATCACGTGGTCAATGACCTCGGAAGTCTGGCGTCCATTCTGGCCACTCGGCACGTTGGTCTCGAACGAAGCGTATGAGCAAATGGGCTCCGGGGTGACATGGACAGTGAAGTAGTGCGCAGCTCTACTGGCAGCATCATCGCTGGACTTGGTGGGTGCAGGAATGACTCCGTTGGCGGAATATCCGCAAGGGGTGAAAAGATAGGAGTCGATGCGAGCCTCGGGGTAGACCGAGGTGGGATAAACTTCAGCCAGACCACACTTGTTGGAAATGACAGTGCCGAGAGCATGGCCCTCACCAGATTTGTCAGAGTCCTCCAGGTACCACTGCTTGGCAAGCTCCTGGTCGAGATCCATCATCAAGATCTCGAGCGTCTCGTCATCGTTGTCGTCGAGGGATCCCACACAAGGCGCCACAATGCCTGTGGGGATCTTGGCGGAGCGGGTAGGGCTTCCGCCGGTGCTAGAGCTAGGGGTTCTAGGCGGGGTCAAGGTGGAAGTGGTAGGTGAGGTCATGTACAAATACCAATGATCCGCATTCATGCGACCGACCAGATAGGCGCTACCATTCTCGAACAGTTCGTCCAGGAACTTGACCTCTTCCTTCCAGCTGGAGTGGGGGCCTTGTTGGCGATCAGGGAAGAGGAAATTCTTGCGGCTGTAAAAGACACGGTGAGGTGTGGCGGCAACGCGCTCATCCTCCAGTGTCTTGACGTTGTGGAAAGGGAATCCGGCATCGATAGCAGCGATGCGAAGAAGACGGCGCAGGCCCAGCAACAGGGTGGTGGTGCCGCAGGTCTTGAGGATAAGCTTGTGGGGGAACACAAACATGCTAGACTCGGAAAGGAGGTAGGCGTCAACGTGATCAGAGTTGACGATGGACAGGACCTTGCAGTTGACCATATCCAACATGCCCTCCCAGATGGAGGGGCTGACCGACTTCAGGCCATTCTCTTTGACCCCAGGAGGAAGAGTCTTAGCACTCGGCGCAAACCAGACCTCGAGAAGTTTCTCGGGTCCCTCAAAGGCGTTGGTGGAGTCCAAGTCAGCGGTAATCTCGTGGTTGATGGTGAGCTGGGTCTCCTCAGCGGCGACGCTGTTGGTGACGTTGGTGGAAGTCATGTTTGGCGAGGTTTGGGGTGTGTCGGCTATGTTCTCTGGTGAAAACGTCCGCGGGACACTAGCTGCCGCTCAAACGAACCTTTAGGTCGCTTGAGAGAGTAGGCCCACAGGAAAGGGGTCTCGCTTTAGAGGCTGGCGACGCCAGCAGCAGGTGTTCGGGAGGTGGTATCTGAACGTCTCGCAAGCGGACGTTAGGGGGGGCGGGCACGGAGGGTGACGCGATAGCGCTTTGAGAGCGGAATGTTGGGCTTGCGCTTAAAACAGGCTTTTATTGCAGGTAAACCGATACCTGGGCGCGAGTATCGGAGATGATGGTGGAGTAAACCAAGGAAGGGGTGATAGTGAAGCTATATCGTCGGGATCTAGATTCGAAGAGTTAGACTGGTGCTGGGAATCAGGGTATATGTAGGTCGCGCTGGAAGAAGCATTTAAACAAAGCTTGTCATGGTGAAGAAAATTGTGTGTTGAAACGGGAGGGACGATTAGCATACCAGGACCTTCCAATGGCTGTGCGCATCTCAAGATGGGATGGTCGTCGGTGGTGTTGAAAGTTTGCGCGGCAATGCGATAGGTGCAAAAGCTGTGGTGGGATGCTCTCGAAGCTGCCCCTTGGCACGACAGAATCGAATCGGTCGGAAGATCGGCAACAAGTGGCAGTGGTTTTCTTGTTTTGTTTGTAAGCAAGTAGGTCTACCTGGCTGTGAGCCAATGGCACAGGGGAAAAAATAAAAATATCCGGTTGCTGAGAGAATTTTGGCATTTGGTTCTTCAAGTGGGATGTGATTCTTCTCTGCGTTTTTTTTTCCATGGATGGCGGGGTTTGCTCACCCCTGTCAGCCGTTGCCCAATGCTCCCAAGGTCGTGGAAGCTCAAGGGGGTGTGCCGGTCCCACTGTTAGTAGACCACACTCGTCCCTCTATCAACCCTGAGCACAACCCTAACAATGCTTCATCAACGATGATAATTTTTGCCTTTCTCGACCACGGGCCGATAAGACCCGTTTCATTGAAAAAGTCCCGTTACTTCATTGCCCTGACAGCTTACAACACGTGAACCCTGATAAACCATTGAAGTTATCGCGATGGCATGGTGGGTTATGAATTGACCGCCTACGACCCCTATGAGTCTACCCTCCTATATCACGCGCCCCCTTGCTCAACTGCCGAAACAACATCAGCAGTAATCGTCTTGAATATCGGCGCCAACGAGCAGTCCTTGTACTTTAGTACCAGTTGCGCGGTATCTCTCTTAGCCTCCTCAGCCTCCGCCTCCTTTGCAGCTGCCGAGATATCTTGCCCATTAATAACTGTTCCCTCTGGATATCGCGGCCTCTTTCCCGTCTCAACCAAGACAATAAACTGCTGGTCGATGGGAACACGCCCCAAGAACTTGACATTGAAGTCATCGGCCATGACTTCACCTCCTCCACTGCCAAAAATGTTGGTGCACTCGCTGCAATTCGGGCAAACAAAGCCGCACATGTTCTCGACAACGCCCAATATACGGATCCCCGTCTTGGTGCAGAAGTTGAGTTCTTTCCTCACGTCGGCAGTAGCCACTGCCTGAGGGGTTGTCACAATTACCGCCCCGGCGACCTGATCTGGCCGTGCCTTTTGAAGCAGTGTCTCGGCAAGAGAGATGTGCTCATCACTCGTGCCAGGTGGTGTATCGATGAGAAGGTAGTCGAGCTCCTCCCAGAAGACATCTGACAAGAACTGGCGCACCATGGCTGTCTTTTTCGGCCCGCGCCATACCACAGCATCGCCTCGCCCAGGGAGTAAAAACCCCAGACTCATGACGCGAAGCGAACCAAGTCCAGAAGTTGGATCGGCTTCATGGACAGTGATGGGTAGCCAGCCCCCGGGTGCCTGTGTCACTTTGGCATCCTCGATGGCAAACATGCGCGGTATCGATGGCCCCGTGAGGTCAACATCGAGAACACCGACCGAGTGGCCAGCTAATGAGAGTGACAATGCGAGCTGGGTAGTCACGGATGACTTTCCGACACCGCCCTTGCCTGAGAGGACCTGCAGATTCGTTAGCATGAGTTTGGTCATGATGGCCATGACGATGGCGGGGCAGAGTGCCAAGGTGGGGCAAACGGACAAGGACGATGTGTTTTATCTTGGATAGCGACATTCGATATATGTGCGAAAGTCGAACTTTGTTATTGAGGTCCAGTGCTTACTGAGAGTTTGACCAAATGAGTCTCCGTCAGGGTGGTTGAAAGAGCGCCATCTTGAAAGTCGAAAGGCTTCTTGGGAAATGGTTAGTTTGCCTCCCAAAATCGAGGTGCCCCTCCACCCACCGATTTGCGGCCTGTATCGGCGCTTGCTTTATCAGCAGCCAGCAACCCCCATGCCAGTTGCTCATATCGGATGAGATACTCAATGACTTTGCTCAAGGCAATCCTTCTAACTTACATGTATTGCAGGCACGGTGAGTAAGAATTTGTCTTGATTGGAATGCGCGTCAATGTAAACACCTACCATTTGACTCGGCCCTGGCGTACGGTAACTCACCTTACCCAGCTTAGACCCAAGATTCGCTGAGATTGGTCCGTGCTCACGGCCCGGCGGCAAGCTCCAACGACACTGAATACATGCATCTATCTCACGCTCGACAAACGTATGGTTTCTGTGTGCAAGTAAATACCTTGCACGTAAACCAAAGCCCTTTGAGATGAGTCGTTTGAGACTCTGAGCCATATAGCCATGACACCACCATTCTCCCTCGTGGCCAAACCCTCGCTCCGCTGCATGCGTAAAGAGCTCCCGCTGTTCAGACAAACTTATGACACAAGCGGTCTGGATCTCCGTCTGATATCCTCCTCGATCATGTGCGATAACTATCACAAGCGTGAAGCATAGCGGAATATGGTGCCAACATGCCCCTGTCCATAGTTCTCTGGAACAAGTATATAGTCGTGCACTACCCCCCAAAGCTTCGTTGGCTCCTCTCCAGGAACTTGCAGCAGAGATTCAAATCTAAACTCACAAAATGTTGCCTATCGTCACCTACCTCGTCAGCATGCTGGCACTGATCAGCACCGTGTACAGCACCCCCGCGGTTGTCAACAACTCACTCTCCCTTCACAACACCTCATTCCTCGCTGCTTATGACGACTCGGGGTATATCCTGGAATGGATCTGCGATCATGATACCTCGCCAGCCCACCAAAACTCCATCCGGGACGAAATTGATTACCTACGTTCGTTGCCAGAGACACCCAGACCACGGACGACGCAAAAGGGTTGTGGTCGCGTAAGCTGCTCTTGGAGAAGCGCAATTACTTGGTGTAACGAGGTAGGTTCAAACCGCCAGAGAGTCATCCTCGGGGACCTTCTACATTCTACTGACATCCAACCACCACAGAACTTCAACACTGGTATCGAGACTACGTGGGAGCACATTGCCGCAGGTGCAGAGAGTCTGCTCACGAAGTGCTCTTACAACGACGGTCGCGGGGTGAATGGAGTGGCGCGTTATAGCACAAACTAGTTTGTGAAAGTTTGGGTCAACGGCTGTTGATGGCGGGTTGTTGAAGTCAGTCGTGGCGAGGGAGCATAGAAGGTTTGTCGTAAATTTGCGACTCACTATACCCGCACTGGTTGCCGGGCTGCGTTCTTGAGTATGGCAAACAGATGATGTGATATAGATGTCGGCCGTGAAGTTGTAAAGAGAGATGATCAATAAAGTGCCCTTCTACGGTTGCTGTGGCCCAAACCAAAATAACCCGTCCTCCGGCCATTGTCTCCGAATCTCGGCCGCAACATTTGTGTTCAAGTTGCTGCTCTTCCGTGAACAATGATGTAGTCTTCATTTGCTTTGATATCTTGCTTCTCTCGGCCGAAGGGCCCATGCTTATCAAACGTTTGTTCGTCAAGGAGCAACAAGATTTCCGCCCGATGTCTTCTCCGCGGTTCAGCAGCGGCAGCTGTCCAAGGTGGCAGCAGCGGGATGCTCCTGCCAGCCGTGCCCCTAACCAGTATCTATATCCATGGTTTCCCCCAGCATTCGGTCCTTCCCCTCCTTTCCAAACCATCAAACACACACTCACCATTTGCACAATGATATCCATCCTCACCATCGCCGCCAGCGCGCTGGCCTTCTCAAGTGTGGCCTACAGCGCCCCCGCTGAACTCGCCCCCTCCAATGGCACTGCCACGGTCTCAAACTACACTGTATACTACGAGTGTAACCCATCCAACCTGAAGTGGGCCGAAATCAAGAACATCCAGATCGGCCGCGATTATCTAAACGGGCTCCCGGGCAAGGCTAAAATCGCCGGAGGCAAGCACTGCGACCGCGTCAGCTGCTCGTATAACTCGGCCATTTTCTACTGCAACGACGTGGGTGATCCTGCTGTTTTCGGTTTATTGCTTCTCTTCAAAGCTGACGCTGATTGTGACAGGATGATAACGAGAAGGAGGTCGAGTGGGAGAGGCTCGCCGAATTCACCTCACTGCTTCTTGACAAGTGTGGTGATAAGAGCGTGGTGAAGGGCAGGGTGTTCGACAGGCCTAACTGGCATACTGAGGTTCAGGGTGAAGCTTGCTAAGGGCGGCTGGGTGAAGTAGTTGGGTGTTAAGTAACACAGGGACGAGCATAGAGTTGTAGTTTCGCGCGGAGCCGCGACTGAAGGCATTTGCGCTGGTTTAGCACGGTTTCTTCAAAGTTGTATTTTATTACAAGAACTGTGATTGTCCATTTCGTGTCGTGGTTTCTTCCCCATCGAGAATTACCAACTTGCCTGGTGTCCAGGGAGCAGCGGACGTAATCGGCGTCTCATACTGACTCCGGATATATTCCAGTATCCGACTATCTGCTCATGGAGTGACGGACGTCGAGTTACTAGCTCAACTTTCTCGTTACCTTCTATAAATTTTTCCCTATTGTAGAAGAAACTGTCGAAGTTTCGCCCGAAATAATCACCAAATCCAGGCCCCCACTTCAGGTCTTCTCATGGAGCAGGTCATCATCCTTTCCTTGATTCACTTGAACACGGTCTCTGTGAGATACCACATCTAGGAGTCGGCCGTAAACCATGCAAGTGAAAACAATCAGTTGTCTACCACCTTGGAAGAGCAACCACAACGACAGTATAGAGCATGAACAGCACAAGAAGTGGGGCCAGAAGTTGACAGAGGGCAGTGAATGATAGCAACTGTCTACCTTGATCCTTGTATTCTGTATATATACCTAAATCACCGGTAAGTTGACGAACTCTTCTCCTTCTCTACACGCCACCCAACCCAACCGACTTACAGTTGCTTCCGACACACAGCTTACACCATATTGGCTGTTCTCACCCTTATCACCAGCATGCTGGCCGTGACCTACAGCGTCCCATCTTTCCACGACATCACCTCTCTCCACAACAGCACCTCGCTCCACAACAGCACCTTGCTCCACAACAGCACCTCGCTCCACAACAGCACTTCCTTAGACAACAGCTCGGCTCCGACTTTTGGCAACAACAATATCTATCCCAAGAGCTCCAGATATTATACATGCAAAATGGAGGGCAACGGAGCCCCGATCAACGAGATCGGCCACGGAATCGAATACCTCTATGACCTGCAGCCCAGCCTAGCGAGGATTGGCGAGGGCAGACACTGCGACCACGTCAGCTGCGAGTGGGGGTAGGCCATCTTTTTCTGCAATGATGATGTAGGTTCATGTCGCGAATGGCCAGGTTGACGTTGTTGAGATCTGTTGCTGATATGAGTTTATCTTAGACGAACCGCGTCAAGGTAGTTGAATGGCCTCAGATTGCCGATGCCGCTTCGCTCCTCATCGACACATGCAGGGATACTTCTGAGGTGATTGTGAAGGGCAAGGTGTACTTCACGAAGTAACTGGCATGTTGAGGTTGTCGGAAGTGTCAGTAATTGCTGAATGGGTTGGTTGGGATTCACGATGCTGGAGCAGGTGGTTTAAGGTTGAGGATGTGGCTGATAATACATGGGCACTGGTTACTGGATTGTTCTTCTGTCTTTGTCTGCTCTGCTGTAGTGATGCTCAGTAAATGTGGTGACGATTAAGGGGGCCCCACTATAAAAGTATAAGCCAGGGGCGGCCCACTCCCAAGGGAGGGTCCGTGTCGACGCGCCAACATGATCCGGGCTGTCCCAAGAAACTTGACGGCGCCGCATTTGGTCGACCCCAAAGCGAACCTGGTTTCTGGGTCAGATAACGTGTCATATCATTCCCAGTTTTTATCCTCGAGCATTCTTGTTGCAGTATCTTCACAATTGGGCCATCAACGGTTCTCAGAATGTCAGACTGATCATGACAGTGGCCGCCAATCAGCATGGACGATCCATGGCGCTCACCATGGACTGCGACCGACGTCGACCCCGACAAAGACCACAAGCTTCCCTCTCCCTCTCTCTCCAAATCCGACCTCGCTCCTCCACCGCGCGCGCTTCTCTCGGGCACCAGCTCTCCACGACTCTCGGCGGCAGTCGAATCTTCGCCATGGGGCGATGACGGGGATGGCCTCGGGGACTGGGCCGGCGCTTCGACACCGGCGGCCGATGCCTCGTCGATTCATTCGGGATGGGGCGGTGGGTGGGCAACGAGTCCGAATCTTGCGGCCGTTCGACGAGACGATGATTCTGGCAGGTTAAGCCCAATCGCGTGGCCTGGCAACATTGCGACGCCAAAACCAGCAAACGGCTCCGCCTTTCGACAACCCTCGCCCGATCCCTGGGCAACCGAGTCTTCGTTCGACAAACCGCCAACGGAAATCGACGCACCCCAAGTAATCGTCGATCTTGCCTCTCCTCGAGCGACGCACTTTGAGACGCTGAAAGCCACAACCGGTTTGGGGGCGATTGGCCTGGATGCTGGATGGGATAGTGCCTCGGTGGAAGAGAACAGAGAAGGACCGACCGAGGTCACGGATCCCCAGAATCATGAAGAAAAGCGAGCAGAGGATCCGGCACAGCTTCCGCGGCACAATGGCGAGTTTCGCTCGTACACTCCGTCGAACGAAGGAACAGATCACGACGATGATCATCAAGACTCACCCATAACGTCCATCGACGAAGACCACAGAGGCCGTCAACGAGAACCGGCCCGGCCTGCTGGTAAGGTCCAGGAGCTGGTCGTCAAGTTTGATGGTCTTGCCAAGGCTAGGAGCCAGGAGAGCTTGCGTGTCCCTCGGCCGAAGAGCAGCGGCAGTGGCAGTGTGGGCAAACGGGATACCTCGAGTGACAATGGTGATTTTGGTGACTTCGAGGATACAGAGGACGTCAAATCCCACCCACCCCCAGATCCCGTGGAACAACCCGTGGCACCTCAGAGTTCGGAAGACGCGGAACGACCTGTCACACCTCCCTCATCGCAAGACGTAAAGTCACCACTCACTCCTCCTTCATCAAAGTCAAAATGTGAAGACGAAACTCCCACAAAGCGATCTCCCCAGGTAAAGTCCAGTGCCGTTGCTTCCCCCGAAGTTCCTATCAGACCGAAAATCGTCCGTCCGACCTTTGAAGTCAATTTGGACCAAGTTGGTGAACTTTTCGAGTCGATGAAAGTTCCTGTTAAACTGCCTATCATCAGTATTGATGGTGAGATTCCGGAGCGTGTCATCACCGACAGCTTCAACGAGATATCTGAACGAAAGCTGTGGTACCGTTTGTCTCGGTTGGGATCGGCGAGGAGACACGATGCTGCAGATGAAGACAGCTACAGACGGATCACTTGGCCGACGTCCACAGTTCGTCAGGAAGTCATTACAATCGTCCGCCGGTGGATGGAAGAAGACTCCATTGCTGGCCGAGTGGCTCTTGGCGGAGGCATATCCAAGACTCAGAAGAATATGTTCGGCTGGGATTCCTCTGCCGAGCCTGTTGGTCTGGATGCTGTCTTTGGCAAGCGAAAACAGGAATCTAGGGCAGCTCCACCACAGCCGATCCAGATCTCAGATTCCCTGGCGTCTTTTCTTGAACCACCAACTCCTACGACGTCTAGATCAGCCCACAGTGTCGCATCACCCCCACCAGCTGTACAAAGCCCGCCGGTTGCTTCCTTCGGGTGGAGTGAGAGCCCTGCATTTGCTCCCACGCCAACTACAACCCTTGCACCAACCCCACGACCATCAACAGGCGGGAGCGCGCCCTCAGCCTTACCGTCAACAGCAGGTCATTCACGAACCGCCTCGCAGCCGGCAGTGTTCGGTACTCCAACAGCATTTTCACCTGCGCCAATAGCCGAAGCAAACCATGACGATGGAGAAGACGATGATGAAGACTGGGGTGAAATGGTCTCTTCACCAGTTGAGTCAAAGCCGGCTGGATTCCAGAGCTTGGATGATGCCTTTGCGGCCCCAATTGCTCCTACTACCTCAGCATCTACACTGTCAGACCCTGAAGCGGCTGGTGAAACTAGACCTTCTGCGAGCGACCCATGGTCAACAATGGACTTTTCGATGTTTGACGCTCCAGCTCCGGTTTTGTCTCAGTCCAAAGCGCCAGCCGCTCTACCGACGCCTTCAGATACACCTCTCGCCTTCTCGCCCATAGTTGTGACATTTCCGCTGTCTCTTTCAGAAACGCCCACACCTTCACCGACATTCACGCCACCAACACAAACTTCACCACCTCCACCAAAGGCACTTCTCAGCGCACGACCTTTTACACCATCAGTGCCATCGCGGCTGTCAGAGCACATGTCCGTGCCACCAGATCCTGTTCCCCCCATCCAGGATTCCATCCACGATCTGACTACGAGTGACGATGAGGTGGCTAAACAGATCATCGCAAACCTCCCCGACCTGTCATACATGTTGCGATGATACATCGAGAAGACGGCACTCATTTGCAAATAATAATGTATGTATGTACCTAGGCATCAAGCCAACTGTGGCTGGTTCTGTTCATGAGTATAATGCATGGTTTTGGCGTTTTGGATTTTGCGCAAAACACCCGGAAATAGCTGGTATTTTTCGGCTGGTGAGATGTCAAGAGTATATATACCGAGCATGGAGTTTTTAATAGCAATTCAAATCCTTGATCTTCACATGCTCATGACTTTTACCAGGGCAGTTCCTATCCCAAGCGCTAGAATACTTTTCCTCAGAAAAATATCGCAGTTTCCCATTGTGCGGTAGCGTCGCGTATTCGCCCTTTTTCATGCATCTTTTGCATGGATATCCACCCTCGGAAATCTGTTCCCTTAGCTGGAAGAGGGCCAGCCTACCAGAATGCGTTCGGAGTCGCGAGAAGTGCGCGAACAACCCCGGCTGTTGGTCAACTTGGCTTCTTCAAGCTCCTCTCCCCCGCCTTGCTCCCCCCAGACACCCCCAGGTCCCCCCCACCACCGTTCACCCGTTACAGGGGACGCAGTGGCGTCTCCCCGCACTCTTGGGAGGTTGATCCCCGTCAGCCAAGACGGCCAAGCACTACCCCAGACTTTTAGCCATCTGGGGCTGTTACGTATCAGAACCTGAAGATTTCCAAAGCCGAAGCTGATACCCGGTCACACCCACTTGGGGGCTCGCCCTTCGCATGTGGTAGGACCCCAGGATATCGATGCCATCATGGATGTTGGGTCTTTGCACCGAAAGCCCGACTGGAGGCTCTGCGGCCCCTCTGCGCCGGCTCTTGGTTGACAGCTGGGACTAGGCCGTGGGAATGGAGTGGAGATATCAAACCGCTAGCTTAACTTGGATATCGCTCGCGTTTCCGAGATGTTGGGTTTTCAAAGTCATATAAGCTATGATTGGGAAGTCTTTTCGGTGATTGTTTGGGCAGAGAACTCAGTCTTCATCTCACCTGTCATACACACACAAGAGAGATGGCTGTCGTCACCCTCCTCATGTCGCCTTGGGCGCCAGTAGGCCTGGTTGCCTTCTTTTTCGTCTATTATCTCTACCCATACTTCTTCACATACCGTCACCTCAGACGTATCCCAGCACCATTCCCGGCCCAGTTCACCAACTGGTGGTTACTTCTTGTTGCCCGTCGTGGCGACCGGTACTTGACCGTTGATCAACTTCACAAGAAGCATGGCACTGTTGTCCGCATCCAACCCAACCACGTCAGCATCAACGATGACGCCGCCATCAACATCATCTACGGTCACGGCAATGGTTTCCTCAAGTCGTAAGTCTTTGCCCTCTTGCTTGCACTCACAGAGACAGAACATCACTGACATCTATCACACAGCGACTTCTATGACGCCTTCGTCTCCATTCGCCGGGGTCTCTTCAACACCCGCGACCGTCACGAGCACACCCGCAAGCGCAAGATCGTCTCCCACACCTTCTCGGTCAAGTCGGTCGCCCAGTTCGAGCCCTACATTCACTCCAACCTCGAGCTCTTTGTCAAGCAACTCGACAACCTCGTCACCCGCTCCCCCATGAAGACTGCCGTTCTCGACTGCCTCAACTGGTTCAACTACCTCGCCTTCGACGTCATCGGTGATCTCGCCTTTGGTGCCCCCTTCGGCATGCTCAGCTCCGGCGCCGACATGGCCGAAGTCCGCTCTTCCCCAGACAGTCCCCCGATCTACGCCTCCGCCATCGAGATCCTCAACCGCCGGGGTGAGGTCTCCGCCGCTCTGGGTATCCTCCCATCCCTGAAGCCTTACGCAAAGTACTTCCCCGACCCGTTCTTCACCCAGGGTCTCGCCGCGGTGGAGAGCCTGGCTGGTATCGCTATCGCCCGTGTGAAGATGAGACTTGAGAACCCACCCCCCGAGGGCCGCAAGGACCTCCTCCAGAGACTTGTCGATGCCAGAGACGAAAAGGGTGAACCGCTTGGAAGGGAGGAACTCACCGCCGAGGCCTTGACTCAGCTCATCGCCGGGTCAGACACCACCTCCAACTCCTCCTGCGCGCTTCTGTACCACGCCGTCCGCACCCCGGGCGTGATCCCCAAGCTCCAAGCTGAACTCGACGCCGCTATCCCCCACTCGATCGACGTCCCCACGTTTGAAATGGTCCGCGACCTGCCTTACCTCTCCGCTGTTGTCAACGAGACCCTCAGGCATAACTCGACCTCTGGGATTGGCCTCCCTCGTCAAATCCCGCTTGACTCCCCTGGCATTCACCTCAACGGGCACTTCTTCCCCGGTGGCACTGTTTTGTCGGTGCCGACGTATTCGGTTCATCATTCAAAGGAGATTTGGGGCGAGGACGCCGATCAGTTCAACCCGGATAGGTGGTTTAGCTTGACGCAACGGCAGAAGAATGCTTTTATTCCTTTTAGTCATGGGCCGAGGGCGTGTGTGGGGAGGAATGTGGCCGAGATGGAGATGAAGTTGATTGTGGCTACTTGGGCGAGGAGGTATGAGGTTGAGCTGAGGCAGGAGGTGATGGAGACGAAGGAGGGGTTTTTGAGGAAGCCGCTGGGGTTGGAGGTTGCGTTGAAGCTTAGGAAGGGGTTCACGCCTTTGGCTTAAGGGGTGGGGGGTAAGAAAGGGGAATGTACGATTATTGAAAGGGGGGAAATGCGAATAGTATATGATGACATGAAATAAATGTTCAAGTTCAAATTTTTGATGGGCCGTTGCGGGGTGTTGGTGAGTAGGTGAGTGAGTGAGTAAGTGAGTGAGTGAGTGAGTGCCTTCACAACTTTCACTCGGATGACTACTCGTTGCCGAATGCCCGGTATCTCCGATTTACATCAACTCTCCCAAGCAAAGTCGCAAGGTTAGTTTCGCCATTTGGACAGTTTTGTTCGGCCTGCTGATGATGGTGCATTGACTTGGCCGAGTCGCAACCGAAGATGCGTGGGTAGTCGCCATCGTGCGTGCCGAAAACGCCAAATTTGGGGGGTGGCCAGACGACTTATAAGTGACTAGTGATGGCCGCAAGAACATATACAATTTCAAAGAATCCTTTCTGTTCTGAGTATCCTGTGTGAACCACCTGATATAATTCCGATACATCTCGATTAACCATGACCAGAGCAGACAAACTCGCCGGCAAGAAGATTGCCGTCATCGGTGGTTCATCCGGGTAGGTACCTACCTACCTCGCACCACACCCCCTTTGTCTACCCTCACTAACAAATCCCCCAACCAGCATCGGCTACGGAGCAGCAGAGATCCTCCTCTCCGCCGGCGCCCACATAACCATCATATCCTCCACCCAAGAAAAAGTCGACCGTGCCGTTTCCCAACTATCATCTACCGCTGGGGGCAACGTCCAAGGCAGAGTCGGCAACGTCCGCGACGAAGCCGCCTTCACTGAACTGCTTCTCTCCCTTGCCCCCCTGGATCATGTCATCTTCTCCAGCGTCGATAAAATTATCCGTGGTAGCCTGGCCGAAGCTAACCTCTCCGACGCGGCGGGGTTGTTCGGGGTGAAGTTTTGGGGGAGCTTTGTTGTCGCAAAGGGTGAGCTGACCTACCTTTTTCCTCTTCTAGATGAACCATGTGCTGATTGAGGTGAAGCCATCGCAAAACACGACATCATCCTCCCTGGCGGCTCACTCACCCTCACTTCTGGCGCTGCTGCTCTACGTCCTAAAAAGGGAGCGACGATTGGGGGGGCGCTGAATGGGGGGTTGATTACCGCTACTATTTCTCTTGCTGATGAGCTTTCGGGGAAGAGGATCAGGGTGAATACTGTTGTCCCGGGGTTAGTCAAGACACCGCTTTTGGGGAAGTTGGGGAATAGTGAGGAGCAGCAGAGGGAGATTTATGAGCAGGCGGCCGGGAGGTTGAGTGTGGGGTTTGTTGCTAGTCCGGAAGATGTTGCGGAGGCGTATCTTTATGCTGTGAGGGCGGATTATGCTAATGGGTCGACGATTGTTATTGGTGAGTTCCACTACCTATTGAATTGGTTTGAAATGTCAGAGGGGGTTTCTAATGGTTTTGTGATACAGATGGCGGTAGTTCTTTTTGATTGGGGGTAGAAGTGGATGGGGATGCACAATTTGGGAGTCCTGGGGAGTATCTCAAAACCGAGACCAAGATGCAAGGGCTTGATAGTGTGGGACATGTCAGAAACGATGCTCAAGGATTGTCAGCGGCTGGGTAGTGTCAGAAATGACTACGGAAACAAAAACATGCCAGCTGTATTGTCCAGTTTAAGGGACCCAACTAATGTGAGATGACACCAAATTTGTCGATGGTGAACCACAAAGGTAGGATAGGTATCCAACAATCACTGCAACCGTCGTATTCCTCATCAGTGAGCCCTCCCTGACCAGAACATTTGTCCTCGTTGCCAGTGTTCTCGGCTGGTTTCTGGCACTCCTGATCATGTTCTTAATCTTGATGCTTGTCGACAGCCTCCCGCTTGCCATCTTCGCATCCCGTGCGGTATCCCTCTTCATGACCCTCAGAATGTCCCTCGCCATAATCTTCCTTAGCATCGTTGTGAACCTAATCCGAATCGTCCTAACCATACAGATAGATATCGTCCAAATCTTCGTCCCAACCTTTGTCGTCCTCCATCTCATCCTTCTTCTTGTCCTCCCCCTCAGAGGACGGCGCGCAGCACTCGATGTTCTCAAAGGGCCTGTAGACTTCACGCTCAGCACCACACAGTGCTGCAGCACAAAGAACCACCCATTGCACTTCCAGCGCAACTCTCGTCTTGTGCGCATCTTCCATAAGGGTCTGAAATTTGATCAGAGAACTCGAGGTAGGGGGTCCACCTGGGGCACTGGCCTTGCAATCAGGCATCTAATCCAGAAGCTCCCGAATTGGCCCCCCGTTACCAGACTCGAGTCGAACGCGCAGGAAACGGACTGGCTGTTCCCGAGTATTTGGATCAGCCTTTAGCTGTCTGCGCATGTTCTTCGTGCTGACTGCCTCTGGGAGCCACTGAAACCGGGTGACGATGGTGGCTAGCCCGCGTGTATGATGGGGCTCAAAACGGAGAAAGCGCAGAACAAAGCGGACTTCTTTCCACAACGCGGCCACCATGGGATTGAGACAGATCAAATTCCATGTCCCGTTAGGTGATTCCCATGGGTCAGGCGCAGCGATTGGGTTAAAGTCAGCCCCTGGAATGCTACTATCTACCCGCACTTTCCGGCAGTGGATGGTAAAAGATATGGTGGACTTGGTGACTTGCCATCCTTGTGATGACACGCTTGTTGTCGTCAAATTTCCTTCACTGGAAGTTCTGCATCGCATGCTGGTCAAAGCTGAAGGAGGAATCCCAAAGAATCTGCACCGTTTAAAAGTACTCTCGTCAGTCTCTACCCTATCTTAGATTCAAACGACCTGCCCGGTGTTAGTTGATAGGTAGGTGACTATGACTGGGTGCAGCCACAGTCTGGCGCTTCACACAGAATTCAAATAAGATTCAAACGCAAACAGAACTTGCTTTCACTCCCACCCCTCACGAAATCCCTACCCAGCCTCAACTCCAAACGTTAACCACCCACGACAGAACTCCATTTAAACAACCCTCCTCGTCTTCCCACTCTCAACCTCATAAACCCACCCACTAATCGTCACGCTATCAGGCACAAGCTTGCTCGCCTTCAGAAAAGCCACATCGTCCTCAACCGCCTTCTCCAGCTCGGGGAAAGGCAAAAAGTCAAGGTTCTTGGCCTTGAGTTCAGCCACGGCTTCCTCACTGTTTTACATGTTAGCCTCTCTCACAACCACCTAAAATCCGTAAACCTACCCAAGATTCTTCTCAACAATCCCATAAGCATCCTCATTCTTGAACGTCAGCATCCCACAGCCAGTGTGCTTGACAAGGACGATCTCGTTCGTGCCGAGGAGCTGCTCCGAGATGACGATGGAGCGGAGGGCGTCGACCGCGCTGGCGCCGGCCTTTTCATTTTCTTAGTCTGATGTTCAGTCTCAAAGAGGGAGTGAACTCACATTGCGGATAACATGCGCATCACCAAGCTCAATCCCAAACGCCCTCGCAGGGTCAATTCTCGCGTCCATGCAAGTCAAAACAAGATATTTCTTCGCCGGGGGCAGAGCCAAGTGCCCTTGGGTAAAAGAGGCAGAGTACGACTCGGAGGTCTGCTCGACGTTCTTTTGGATGGCGGACATGGTCACTATCTGTGGTTGATAAAGATCTGTAGGTGGGAAGAAGTGAGGTGAGCAAACTCAGGCTTGGAAAACCAAAAACATCAAGACAAAACAACAACAGCAACAACAACGAGAGTAAAACTACTCTTTGCAATATGATAGAGAATGAAAAAGAGAAAATTAGAAACAATAGCAGCACTCTCTCCTCTCCCCCTTATATACTTGACTCGAAAAAATAACATACCAAGGCAATCCCGGATTTAGGCACGGACGAACAAAAACACACTGTCGATTAAAACCACCAACAACAACAAAAATACGGTTATGAAATCCTTCCTCGCTGTATGGCGGCGGCGAATTTGTGTCAAATCATCAGATCAGGAATAATAAACCGGGGGAAACAACCAAAATTATAACATCTCAAGTCACACAGTTCCCCCCCTCATCTCATCAACCTCCCTTCAAGCGAGAATCCCCGCCAAGACAAAGCTGAAGCAGCCTTGGCACCTCCGCCAAGTGGGAGTTGGAGCTGTTTCCGGCAAGGTCAGCCATGTCGTCCACAAATAAATGGAGACCAAAACATAAAAGAAGAGCCTTGATGAGATAGTGAAAGGCCTTCATCTTGTGTAGCTGGGTCCATTATTTTGTCCGCCATGTGTCAGCGGAGCTATCACCCCCATGACGTGCTCAGCACCCCCCAAATCCACCGATCAAATCCCACGATGTTTGAGATTCCTCATGGTTCCGTCCCAATCACTCGTGCAGAAACACCTGGTACATCATTGCATCAAGCAGCCACAACCTCTCGCCATCAAGATGATCGGCGCTTTGCATATCCCCTCTCCCCCACCTCTGGTCAGGTTAGCAATATCGCCGATAGTATACAATAGATAGGGCGCAATAAAAGTACACGCTGTCGTTGGATATATTTACAACGGTATTAACAAGTTACCATGTCAGAATGAAGGACTCATTCCTCCTGGCCCCTCGCCCTTTTCCTATTCCTCCTCGCCAACAGCCTTTCCTTCTCCTCCAGAGCCCTCTTCGCCTCATACTCCTGCGCCTTGGCAAACGTAGCCTTGTGAGTAGAGTTATCCTGCCATTGCTCAAGCTTCTGCTGCGCAGCCGCCTTGGTCGACTTCAAGCTCTCAAAAAGGGTCTCCTTTTGTGGCACCACGGTCCCCTTGGTATCCAGAGTTCTCGGGGCCTGGTACGCTCCGCCAATAGGGGACCTATGGTGGCCCCCAAAGACCACTGGTCTCAAACCGATCATCTTGCGGAACCAGTTCTGATACGTGAGCCACTGCTGCCCAAACTGCAGGAAAGTAGAGATCGCAAAGTAGAGTTGGAGACCGGCGGGCAAGAAAATGCTCACACCGAGGGTGATTGGCGCTGCGACCATGGTCATGATCTTCATGGTTCCTTGCTGCGAGGAGGCCATGTACGGGAGTGGTACCTAGATAGATCACAACAATTAGCTCAGCATCATCTGACAAAAAAAAAACCAAAAAAAAAACCAGAGCTGTGGTAACAACATACCCTCATACTAGCAATCATCAACCCAGCACCCACAATCGGCAAAATAAACAACGGATCCGACACGGTCAAATCATTAAACCACAACGCCCCACCCGTCTCCATCGACGGCACCGGCAAATCAGCCATTCCCCTGATCAACCTAAACATCCCAAAGCCCACGGGAATCTGCACCAAGGCCGGAACACTCGCAGGCAGCATCTTGTACCCCACCGCCCGTCTCATCGCCTTCATCTTATTCCTCTTATCCAACATGGCATACTGATCCGCCTGGCCCCCCTGAAAAGCCGACATGACCTCCTTCTCCAGCTGCTCATACTTGGGATCCCTCTTCAGATCCTGCAGCTTCTGCGCCATTTCCGCAGCCGTAAACATAGGCTTGACAAGAACCGCCCTGATGGCAAGCGAGACAAGACCGATCGACGCCCACCACGGGAGGCCCGTGTAGATGTACGTGTGCTCGAGGATCCATTCCATGAGGGCTGTCGGGCCGAAGCCGTAGTCTAGACCCAAGTTCTTGAGAAAGCCGATTTGCTCAGGCATGTTGAGGAGGTCGCTTCCGGAGAGGGATACGGGGGTGGTGTCGATATCCGACAGGACAGAAGGGCTCGCGATCGGATCTACCACTGGAGCAGCGGCAGCGGCGGGGGCGGGGGTTGGGGCGACGGCCGGTTGAGTCGAGGCATACCGCACGGCTGTGAAGGCAGCGGGACCACCTATCCTGCTCCCAGAGAGGACGGTGCGAGGAGTCTGAGGAAGGGATCCATTGCTGCGCAGAGCGGTGCCGAACTGTCGTGTTGAGATTCGGGAGGACGACGACTGGGGAAGTTCCAAATGTCAGCGGTGGATATGGGAAGAGGAAAACGGAAACGGCTCAATTGAGTCGAGAGGTCGCTAAGAAACAAGGAAAAAGAAATTGGAAAAATGCATACCTTTCTGGCAAGGCCCAACGAAGGGGTTGACCTCAGTATACCTCTACTTGGGAGCATTTTGTCTCGGTGGTTTCCGCAACGAGGCAGACTCCAGAATCGCCTTCTAAAAGTCGCTGTAACTTTTTTTTTTGGTACGTTTCGCTGGCGCACGCGGCAAAGGTTCGGTTGGTGCCCCCCCTGGTCGCACTGACCCCACAATTGATCAACACCGGACGGCGCATTGCCAAGGCCAGAGCATGTCCTAAGAGAAACCGTGCAGAAGCTGGAAGGCATCAACCCTTCTAGGGAACAAGCCAGAAATGTGGGATGGGGATTCTGAGACTCTTCATGGTTGGATTTTTGGACTAGCTGTTATAGTGACTGTCCCCGTATGTCTGTATTTAAAATGCTCAACGGTAGCACCCTCCTCGCCTTTTGCCCTGAGTCGAGTGTGATATGTTGTTTGGTCACCATATAGTTCCAGTTTGGATCTCTCACGCTGTCCAGCACCAGTGTTCATGCCCATCGGCTCCACCGAGGCGGTGGGCGCTCTAAGCTGATAGTAACCTATTCTGTCGTGTGTTGGTGTATCATGACTTTATTGCTAGCAAATCGACAACCCTCAACATCACTCCAAGCTCGTCAGGTCGTCAAGTTCCCTCCGCCTCGGCTTCTCGACCGCTTCGATACCTGGCCCAATCGGATGCGCTTGTCTTCTAGTAAGAGGGAATATCTATCAAAAAAAATACCATGTCAGCAATATCCTTCCAACAAGCACAGGATCAGGCTTAAATGTAGCATACCCTTGTGTTGCTCCATCCCAACCTGAAAGCCGCCTCATGAGCAAACAGCTCGCCAAACCCAAGCATCATGCCATTAACGAAAGGAAGAAACAGGTTGATGGCAGCACCGCGGAGGATAGACCAGAAGGTGGGGGGCTGGTAGAGGATGACGGCGGGGGACGACGACGAGGGTGGTGACGTAGACAGCTCCTCTGGGGAGGAATACTGCTCGCTGTCGGAGCGGATCGTGACACCGGACTCGGCCATGGGGTTTGGGGGTTCTTCAGAAGCCATGTTGGTGTGGATTTGGGGTTGAGTGAATCCGGCTGAGATTTGGGTAGCCGGCGACGATGGGACAGGAACACTATGCCGACGTCCGGAGATGCAGCGAAGCACTGGACGTCGCAAAACGCTTGGGCAGCCGACAGGGGAGCCCGGAGTGCCTGCCGGAGCTAGCTGCGTTTGGTTAGGGAATCGGTGGTCGGGGGCCAGATAATCCGGCTTGGCTGATGTATGAGGTGTCGACCGTAGGTGTTCAAGCTTTCTTTCTCGAGTGCAAGATGCTCAGTTTGAAAACATTTTCTTATAGAAGCAATATAAAGCAAGTAAATCGCTTCTATACCAGACATTTGGTCGATTTAAGGGCTCATTTTCATCATGGAGCTAGGCAACTGTGGTTGACAGCTGAGTACCTACCTTGGACGTCGGCGGGGTCAAGCAACCTGGATGGCGGATGGCGGATGGCGGGGCAATCAGACGCCTGGCCGTGCGTCGTTCGTCACGTCGGCCTTGAGCTGCCTGATGGCCATCCACTCTCCAACTTCCCCAAACTGTCAAACTAATAAGCCTTCCGAGCTGTATCAACGACACAACAACTTCTGATTCCATCGACTCCGACTTTCCAAGGGACGATAGCTGTCTGCTTATTTCAATCCATCCATATCACGCATTCAACCGAATCACGTTCATCATGGCGGATCAAGACCATGACACGCTGATCAGCAACTTCTGCGACTTGACAGGCGCCTCGGCCGACCAAGTATGTGATATTCTCAACACGGCATACCTCGTAGCAAGATCCTAATGTTCGACGCTTTCTAGGCCACAGAATACTTGACAGCGACCAATTGGGATGTCAACACCGCCGCCGCCGCCTTCTACGGCGATCTTGACGAAAACGAGCAAGGCCCCTCTTCCACCGGCGCCGCCACTGCCACCACTACCGACGCCGAGTACACCGGTCCACGAACATTGGATGGCCGACCGGCACCTGAGTATGCTGGTACATCCTCTTCGACCTCAAAGAAGCCCGTCAAGCGTCGCGGCCTCGCGACTCTGAGCTCCATAGGCGGCGGTCGCAACCAAGAAGACGACGATGACGACGATGACGAGAGCGATGACGACAATCGCCGGGGACCCAGGGATTTGTTCGCAGGCGGCGAGAAGTCGGGACTTGCTGTTCAAGATCCTGCTCAGCGGTCCAGCGATCCGAGAAAATTGATCAACGATATCGTTGCCAAAGCCAGAGCGTAAGTGTTGCCACTCTCTGTCGTTGGGTCGCCAGATCTAATTGCTAACTTCTTTCTCAAACAGCAATGCCACCGAGAGTAATCCCGCATCTTCCCCCGCTGCAGGCCCCTCATCGAGTCGCTTCAGTGGCTCCGGTCAGACATTGGGCGGAGATGGCGTAGAGAGTCGCACTATTCCTAGCTCCAGAGCTGCTGGGGCCGTTCCCGAGGGGCCTGCGCAGGAGCGGATTCTCCATATCTGGCGTGACGGCTTTAGCATTGATGATGGGGAGCTTCGTCGTTTTGACGACCCTCAGAACAGGAGCGACTTGGATATGATCCGCAATGGACGGGCGCCAATCCATCTCATGAATGTCCGCATGGACCAACGGGTCGATGTCAAGCTCCAACAACACGACGAGAACTACCGCCCTCTGCCCAAGATCTACCGACCCTTCGGCGGTGAGGGCCGTCGATTGGGTAGCCCTGTGCCCGGTGAGGTAACACCAACCCTCTCCCCTCCGGCCGCGACTACGACACAGCCTCAGGCCAGCCAGGCCCTGAGCACCGGAGTGGATGAGTCGCAGCCGACCTTGATGCTGCGCATTCAGCTTCCCGACGGAACCCGCATGCCAGCCCGATTCAACCCCACGCAGACAGTCGGCGATGTCTACAACTTCATTGGACGCTCGTCTTCCTCGCTTTCAGCCCGTCCGTGGGTTCTCTCCACCACATTCCCCAACAAGGACCACGAAGACAAGGGCTTGGTGTTGGGTGACATGCCCGAGTTTAAGAAGGGTGGTGCTGCTGTCGTCAAGTGGAAATAGGCCTATTTCCAGCATTGATGACAAGCGCCAGGAACAATTTGGCTTCATAGTATCGGCGTTTTGATGGTTTGGCGGCACTAGACCAAGCGATGGACAACAGTGTATCTGTCGGTTTTTCGTCCCGAGAGCTGTGTCCAGCTTTGAGACCGGCTGGTCTTTTCAGCAGGGGAAAGATCAAATAAAAAGTAAAACCTGCTCATAATTACATGCTGCCTTGTGTTTATTTGCCCAACCATTTTGAACACCTTTGACGCCGCTGCTGTGGTACTATCCCAACCCGTGATGTTTGCACGGGCTTTCTCTTTTTCCACCACCAGAAATACAACACCAAAAAAAAAAGAAAACACTAGATAGTTTTTCCATCACTGAACATGCCTTTTCTTCAACTGTTTGGATGAGCCATCCCATGCTCTCACGCTCCTGGGTAATAACTCCCCGCAACAGCCCTATACGGACTCTGCTGTACCGCCCCCCCGCCCGGAGCAGCAGCAGCGGGAGCAGCAGCAGCGGGAGCAGCAGCAGCGGGAGCAGCAGCAGCGGGAGCAGCAGCAGCGGGAGCAGCAGCAGCGGGAGCAGCCGCCCCCGGGCCTGGCCCATCCAAAAACCTGAACCACGACCTTGCTGCCGTCACATTCAACTTTGCGCTGTTGAACCTCGCCTCCCCCGGCGGCATGCACACCAAGATGTACGTGTTGGCAGTAAACTTGGTGACAAACATGCTAAAGTGGCTCCCCATCTTGTACTCAAGCTCGGAGAACTGCTCGGCGTTGCGCGGCGTGCCCGTGAACTTGCTGCAGGTGTGCTTCCACGACTTGAGGATATTCGACATGCGCTCGAAGCGGTCGCCATAGGGGTTCTTATTCCCCTCGTGGGAGGCCCACTTTGACACGACAAGAAACGAAGTCCGCTCGAACAGGAGGATCTCGTCGGCTTCGATGGCGACGCCGAGGGAGGCGAGCTGGGCTTCGATGACGGCCAGGTTCGGGACGAGGTCGTGGATGATGGACGCCCAGGCCTTGTAGAGGGACTGGTCCCAGATGGAGGTTGCAAAGAGCTGCATTTCTGGTTCGAGGTCGTCGGCTGGGTGGGTAGGGGTGAGGGTGGTTGGGGAGGGGGAGTGTTGGGCGAGGGAGCCTTTTCTGATTATCGCGACTGCCTCCGAGGTTTTTTTCCGGACGACGGCGGCTCGTTGGACGAAGACTTCTTCTCTCATTTGGGGGGGGATGAGGTCCATTTTGTGGATTAGGACAAAGATTTGGGCTTCGCGGGAGTATTGGACCAGTGCCGAGATGATGTTGACGTAGGTTGCGAGGTCGCGCTCTACGTCTCGGGATTCAATGTCGAAGATGTAGATGAGGACGCCGACGTTGGAGAAGACGTGGGCGCGCTGCTGGGAAAGGTAGTTTTCCATAAAGGCTTCTTGTCCGCCGCAGTCCCAGAGGTTGAGGGTGAGGTTGCCGAGGAATTTGACGTGGGAGAGGTCGATGTCTATTGTTGCGCCTCTATTTTTGGGTCAGTAATTCATGTCTTGGGTGAGAGTGACAGGGGGGAAGAGAACATACAATCGGCGGGTATCGCGGGCGAGGTAATTGGAGAAGATGATGCTTCTCATACTGGATTTTCCGGAGCCGCTTTTGCCCATGAGGAGGACCTTTTGCTTCTTGACTTTTTTGAGCTGAGTTTGTGTTTTTGGAATTCCCCCTCCCCCTGATGAGCCATCTGTCACCCCCGCGGTGCCACCGCTCCCTGTTGTCGTCTCCAGGCCTGACATTGTGTTTGTTGGGTGTGCTACCTCATGTGTGATATTGGTGTATGGGTTGCTGAGCAAGTCCAGCCCTGACTAATTAAGATGATGTGAATGATTGAAGCGGTCGCGATGAGTGAAGTGGTTGTTGGTGAGAGCAGGCATGGATGAGCGGCTGGGTACGGGAGCTGATTGAGGATCCACCTGGGGAGCGGGTCGACAGGGATCATCGGTACAACTGAGCTAACTGTAAGGGGTTTGGCGGTGTGGATGAGCAACGGGAGCTTAGCCTCACGTGACGAAATACGTCACTGCTTATTTTTGCTTAGCTCACGACGTTGCGATTCTTCAGCCTTCACTTGTCTCATGGGAGCGAACTCGGAGCCTGTATCATATTTGACTCTTTGAGCTAATGTCAGGTACTTCATGAAAAGGGTGGATGAAATGACCAGCTGTTTTGGATCAGGCAAAGCCACACTCTGGCATCAATCGACCATTCAAGCAGGCAGCTGTCCAGGTACTGTCCAAGTAGGTTTTTCATGTCTCAACTGTCTTCACCATCTGAATCGTCTTTCAATCTTTTTACGAGAATCTTAATCTACTCACTTCTTGCCTGCTCGACAAAGCTGGTAGAGTCTAGACCAAGCAGTGTGAACGAGCATTCCAGGTGTTGCCGAGCAACCTGCCCCCTTTGCCCCTTTCATGCCATTCCTTCAACTCAGCCTCCTCACTTGGACATGCCAGTTGCCAGGATGGCGAAAATCAAACAGTTTCAAATACAGACCTGGAGTCAAGCTTTCAGTCACCGTGTTGGTTCCCGTGATATGTATTGCTGTCATCCTGTTTCGACTAGAGTGAAGGGACAGAGCATAAAGGCAACCCAGTCTTGTATGCAATCGAACCTTCCGTTGAACTGAAGATATTCACCCCGCAACACCGACTTCAGTAAATAGCACTAGCGTTCACGTTGTTTGTGTCTCTTGGGTGTCGGCGACTTTGCAGTGAATTACCAGTTCCACCAACACGCCGATTCACTCCAACAATTTGGCTCTGTTGTCTGCCGCAACTATATAAACGATTTCTCATCTTCAACGGCCTCTTCTCTTCCTCTTCCTCTTACCAGTGTCGATATACGAGCAATATTAACGACTCGACTTCGAACCTAACCAGCAATCTACTCACACACATTCTCTGGAGATACTCAAACCCACCTCTCCACACTTTCACCAACAAACATCCACCCTCACCATCAAACACCATGATGCCCCAGCTCCTCTACCCAGGCCTCACCAGCCTCCTCTTCCTCCTCTTTGCCCTTCAGATCTCAGCCCACATGATGATCTCCTCACCACCACCCCTCGGCTCATCAAGCAACCCCAACCTCCGCTCTTCCGATATTGATTACAACCTGAAGGACCCCCTCTCCCCATCCGGCCTAACCTACCCCTGCGGCCCAAATTTCGACCTCTACTCCCTCTCCCCACAAGGCAACCCCGTCGCAACTTGGGCGGCTGGTTCCAGCCAATCCTTCACCCTGGACGGCGGCGCCTCCCACAACGGCGGTTCCTGCCAGGCCTCCCTCTCCATCGACGGTGGTAAATCGTTCAAAGTCCTTCGCAGCTACGAAGGCGGCTGTCCACTCAAAAGGAACTACCAGTTCAGCATCCCAGCTGACGTTCCGGCAACAAAGAAAGCGGTCTTTGCGTGGACCTGGTTCAACCAGATTGGGAATAGGGAGATGTACATGAACTGCGCCGTTGTCGACATCACACCCGGGTCAGGCGGAAAAGGCGGATGGGCCAAGAAGCCAGAGGTGTTCAAGGCAAATATTGGGAACGGGTGTACCACGGTCGAGAGATTCGACGTCGAGTTTCCCAACCCGGGGGATGATGTTGCTAGGGGTGGGGAAGGGAATTTTGCGAGCCCGGTGGGGGATTGTGGGACGGTGAATCGGGGGGCGGACTCAGGTGCGGGAGAAGGCAGTGGTAATACCCAGGGCGGCGGTACCGATAGTGGAAACGGAGGTGCTAACCAGAACCCAGACTCGCCGCCAGCAGGGGATTCGCCTGGCTCTAGCACAACTGATCCGACTAGGCCATCTCAGCCCAACTCAGGAGGTAAGTCAACATCTCTCTTCACCATCTCACCACCCCCCGATTCTGTTTCCTACCGTCAAAAACGAGTTGAAGCCAATTCTCCCTTTCTTATTCTCTTTTCTTTCTAGATGATCCAGACTCAAGCTACGTCCCCTCCATCGACGACTGGAAGCCAGGGAGGGATTTCCCAGAGTGGTTCAACAAGAACTCTGGGATGTCTATCATAGTCTCTTTTCCTTCAGTCTTTATGGCTTTGACGCTTTCTTTCCTCTTTCATATGTAAGCTTTGATCGGGTAATCTTTTCTTTTCCTCTGTTTGAGACATTGACTAACACTCTTTCGAAATCTTATTAGCGGTACCTACTACCTCTGCTTGTGGCACAAAAACCGTCACCGCGAAGCCAGAGGGGACAATGGTCTTCACGCGGACATTCACCGTCACTTGGTGAGGAGATATTGGTGGGACATCAGGTTAGGGCCAGCGAAATTGGACATGTAGTTAAGACACAAAATTTGGGATGGTTTGGTGGTAATAAATACTGGTATTTCAAAAAGATGAACAATTCTTTTCTCAGAATTGTACTAAACTATAAATATTCGTAATTCATAATCATAAAATGCAAACGCTACGTTACAGTCGTAAGACCCATTCCACCTTCTGACTTTACCCTTTGCGCCCGCAAAACACAAGATCATAAGACGCTCCCATAAACAGCAACAATAACCTCTTTCAGGACACTACGCCAACAACCTCTGTGCCTGTCCCTGTCCCTGCCCAGCCATCCCCCCCTCCTGCTTCCACCTCCTCAACTCCTCCAAGTTAACCTGCCCAATAATATTCCCCCTCTGTGTCCTCAACTCCGTCATCTTCAACTCATGCCTCCCCCTGGCCCCCTCCCCATCAATCTGATTCCTCACCGCATACGCATTCAAGTTCGCCTCCCTCTGCCTCTGACTAAACTCCGCCTCCTGCAACTTCCTCTGACTCTGAAACTGCAACTGTTGATAGTTAAAGTTTTCCTTCTCTTCCCACCTCTGCCTATGCAAATCCTGCATCTGCGCCAAACTCTTTGCATGTCTCAGCTCCTTGTGCTCTAGCGCGACAGTGTTCTTCTGTCTGCGCTCTTCAATATGCTGCACATGGGCCCGTTGGCGATGAGCCAAAGACGCACTCCGTTTCTGGTCCGCCATGGCGAGATTATCGTTATGTTTCTGCCATCGGACCCCCGATTGAACATTCGCCTCACTGATCTTGATCTGCGAGTCGTTCTGATGTCGATCTGCCTTGAGGAAAGTTGCCTGCTGGTGGTTCAAGCTGCGTTCCTTGCGCCCCTGTTGGGAGTGTTCCTCCTTGTATCGCACGCTGCGGCTGTGCTTTTGCTCCTCAATCTGGGCGTGCACCGTCGCCTTTTCCGTCACCCGTCTCAGCTCATTACCGTGACTTTCCTCCACACGACGATTGCGCTGCTCCCAGGCTCGTCGCTCCCGCTCATAATCGCGAATCTCTTCTGGGAGGCCAACAGCATCAGCTGGCTGCGTCTCTTCGATGGTGGCATAGAACCTGTCCTCAACACCGTGGTCCTGAAGCATTTGTACCAAGGCCGGCGAGCGCGGGCCAAGGAGGATCCCTTTCATGATGTACATCGTCGGAGAATAGTGATAGATGCCCTCCTGGAACGTATTCTCGTGACTGTTGAGGGTCTTGTAAAGCAGTCGATCGAGCAGAACTCGCGTGATGGCCTCGTTGTTCTGATTATCCAGGGCAAGGAATATGACAGTTTTGCCGCGCACCTTGAGCAGAGGGCTGGCATCGACAGAGGCGAGAATGTCAAGACTTTCATCCGCAAGGGCAATGTCATGCGGCATTGTTGCCTTGAGAGCAACCTCGCCCAGTGCAGTTCGGCCGCCATGCTTCGTGGAACGATAATTGACATCGTGACCAGCATCGAGAAGCAACTTCATCGCTTCAGGGTGAAAGTTGCGAGCCGCCTCATGGAGACTCCCGTCATTAACAGAAGGGTTATGTTGAAGCAGCGTCTTCATCATGTCGATGTCCCCTGCGCGAGACGCGAAGAAGAGCGGCGACCGACCAAGGTTATCCTTCACGCTGACCTTGGCCCCGTAGCTGAGGAGCATCTCCACAACATCAACTCTCCCAGATTTGACAGCCACGAGAAAGGGCGTGGTTTTCGAGACCGGGGTGGTGTATGAAAGATCGGCTAATTCCGTTAGAATGTCTTTGTTGTCACAAGAGGCGAGATACTTACATCCATGGCAGATGAGAGCTTCAATAACATCTTTGCTAATCATCTCATCCTTTTGCAACAGTGCCCACATCAGCACAGTGACAGGCTCAAGCTCGGCCTGAGCACCCTTTTCTGTGTCACAAACGGCCCAAACAGTAGACTCCAGACGACATCCAGCCCTCACCAGACGATGGACAATCGCAACCGAGTCTCCATAAGACTTGAGAATGAGAATGATCGGCGGGTGCGGCATGCCGGGAAGGGAATGATTGAAGTCGGTAGGCAAACCTGGTTGAGCCATGACGTTGAGAATTTGGAGAAGAACAGACTCAGAGTGGTGAGCCATGATGGCGGCAGAAAGAGCCAGTGTTGCGGAAGTGGCATCAGCTTTTTGCTTCAACAAGTAATCGAGGAGGAGAGGGTCGCCCCTTGATGCCGCCGTGCCAACAGCCTTTCCGTTTTCGCAGTTTACGTCGGCTCCCGCGGCAAAGAGACTGTCCAGAAAGGCCCTTGACAAAGTAGCTTGATCATTGTCACAAGCGAGCTGGTCCACCACGTCCATCATCGCCCTGCTGGCAATCTGGGGGGAAGCGCCATGTTTCAAAATAATTCTGATAGTGTCGACATGTTCAAACGCAATCCACTGCTTGCCTCGGCTGAGAATAGCGGCAAAGGCCTGTGTAAAAAGCTCCGGAACCTTCCCAGCGTACCCTGCCAATAGATGCAACAGGTCACGTTCAAGATTACAAGCCGCGTTCTTGATACACACGCCATTGTCATGAGTTGGCTCTGCCCCAGAGTCAAGTAGCGTTTTAGCGAGTGCCAAATCCGGTTTTGGTTCCAAAACCACATGTTTGAGCGCCATATTGAGATGATCAAGCTGAAGCCGACTCATGACCTCACCCAACACCGCCCTCCTATCCGTTCTTGGGGCACGGAGCGCCTCCATGAGTAGCGTGAACAAGGCCTTGTAACTGATACCTTGACCTAGAACCAAGTGAAAGGTCTCGGGGCGAAAGCTTCGGATTGCGTAAATAAAGACCTCTCCATTGTTGTAGTTTACCGATGCACGTGTGAGAAGTAGTTGTATCAACTCCCTGGGCTGATGTTAGTCACGCTTCATCAACAGGGAACTGCTGTCACAACTTACGTATTGCCAAAGTCGTTCTTGAACACTTCCACCAACGCTTTCCCACTGGCAACTTCGTCGATAGGGTGGCGAACCAGTAGTTCAACCAGACGGCGTTTCTGATCCTTGTCCTCAGTACCCATCGCCCAGCCAAGCGCGGCACCAAGTGCCTCCGGTGATGGCTCTCGGTCCACAATTTGTTCTGCGATGTCCTCACACGAGGATCGTACAGCGACTTGCAAAGCCTCGCCCTTTCGATGGTTGACATCGGCCTTTCCGTCATACAGGATCAGATTGAATAGACACAGGTCCCTGTCCCTCGCAGCGCTATCGCCACGCTTAGAGTCAGAAACCAGGCAATGGACAATGCTGATCAGCGCTTCTGCCACACAGAGACCTTGGGCTCCCGCATCGATCAGACGTTCAATAATCCCGTATCGCTCATCGTTGTCGTTGACTTTCACGGCCTGCGAAACCGCAATCGTAAGACTCTGCGAGGAGGGGTCCAGCCCAAGAAGCATGGCCAAAACGTCCACTTGACCAGTCCGGATTGTTTCCACCAACGCAAAACCTTCGTACTCTTCGGGGATTCGTCTGTGTCGGATGATGGTTTCCAGGAGCTGAACATCCCGCCGTCTTATGGTCTCGATTAAGCCGTCCGTGATCAGGTGTGTCGTCGCTGGACCAGCCGCACCAGCTGCCAAGCACATTCCTACCATCTCATAGCCAAAGGTGTCGAGGTTGTTGGTTGCCTTATTGACAGCTGTGTCTAGAGTTCGTGGCGAGGCCTTCACCGGTCCAGAGATCAATGCGGCCACGAGATCTGGTCGAGAATCCTCCACAGCGCGGATAAGTGCGATACCATCACCATAGTTGACGTCTGCCCAGTGGTTCAGCAAAAGACGTATGACATCGACCGAGCCATTTGCTACCGCCAGTCGAAGTCCAGTCGACCGGCAGGCCAGGCACGGCAGATGATGTCCCGAGAGGAGAACCTCGATGAGATCCACGTTGTCGCGGAAAACGGCGCCCTGAAAATCATCGTGTAGGTAGACAGGGCTTGCTCCGTGATCCAACAGTGTACGGATAATCGCCAAGTTGCCCCTGGCTATCGCGTGATGGAGGACACTGTCGAGATTCTGCTGGTCGGCATGGGCTGCGAGAACATGGACTGTTTCCGGTCGGCATTTGATGGTGGCGCGGAGAAGGATATCACTCCGCTCATTGTTCTGATGTCGTTGAGCAATCTTGGTCCATGTGGTTGAGTTTCGGCGGCGGACAAAGTTGACGTCGGCACCAAGAGAGAGCAAAGCCTTGACAACCCCTAGCGACCCATCTGACTCTACCACCTCGGTCAAGACCTTGTTGATCTCGCGGTGGCTGAACTCTGTGCCGGCCTGAGATGAAAATCGGTTTCGGAGCCAGCCGAATGTTTGTTCGTCACGGATCTGGGCTCGCTGAGCCTGGAGGAGCTGAGTTGCCTGTTTGTTCTCACTACCGGCCATTTCTACGGCAGGTGCCAGCTAGTATTGGAGGTGTGAGCAGTTTGGACATGTTAAATTGAACGAGAGACCAAAAGCAGGCGGGAATGAGAGCCGGCGGTGGCACGCGCATAGCTATGTATGGGTTCGTCCATGGTGTCCGACAAGCCAACCACGAGGCTCGCGACATGCCGAGAGCTTCTGTTCGACCCGGCAGTGTGGAATGAAGCTGTTCGATATGCAGCACCAGGGGATGTGCCATGCAAGCGGACGATTGACGTGTCCCAGGTGGAGCGGCAGTGGTGATGTTTGGTTGGCTGCGGTGCTTCCCCTACGCGCATTAGCCGCCAGGAACATGAGCTGCGCCGCACCATCCCTGACCAACCAGTTGAACCTCAGTGGGTGATGCACACCTCCTGAAGCAGGCACCTGTCAGCCCAAGCACCACTCAAACCGTCGGGAAGCGCTGTTGATGTGTTTCAGGTCGTTTATTGAACGTCGAGCTGTCGACGTGTCAAGCCGAGCCCCCCAAGAGGAGTAAAGGAATACATGACGCTAAATGACGCGCGAAAGTCGAGGCTTGCAACGCGCGCATGAAGATCAAATGACAGACATTAGATGCACCGAGGTGAGGCTCTGGAGAAGCTCGATGCTGGCGGGGACATGGTTGTGGGGAAAGAAATGGTGATGTCACATGTTCAAAAATACCTTCACGAGCACTGCCTGGCTCTTTCCTGCTACACACAAACAGCTCCGAAAAGATTGATTGGATAATGCACTGCACTGCAGCAGCTGCAACGTTCTGTGACTGGAAATGGTAACCATGCACACAACATCCAAGCTCACCACCCCACCACCACTTCGGCCCCCAACTCGTCGAACAAAGCTGCTTATGTCGTGCTCCTAAGATTCGATCCCTTGGCCAGGAGGGCAGCGCACACAGCCGCGACTGCCACCGCAGTAGATGTCGCAAACGAGTATCGAAGGCCTTCAAAGTAGACATGTCGTGCCTTGAGTTGGATGTCGGGCGGCAGGTCTCGGATGGCCGACACCGAATGACGGATCTCTTCGACAATCTAGCAATATCACATGTCAGCTCTCTGCATATTCCCCACAGTCCTTCTCTCTTCAAAGTCGCAAAACAGGGGCAAAGTACTCTCCATTTATCTGGTATCTCGCCCAAAGCATCGGGTAACCGAATGCTGAGCGTGGTTTGGAGGATTGCAGATGTCACTGCCACTCCATAGACTGTTCCTAGCGATCGGATCAAGTACACCGTCGAGGCTGAAACGGCATGGTCTGTGATTTGGCAGTAAGTAACCCAATTCACAGCTTTCAGCGAGGCGACACTTACCGGCATGATCGAAGGTAGCTAAAGAGGTAAACAGAATGCCTGGGTAAACAATGCCTTGACCCAAATTTGCCGGGAAGATGTACACGTAGTACTTCCAAGCTGAATCCTCAAAACCGAGTGAGGTCACCAAGGCGTTTCCTATAACCATGAGGAACGCTCCAGTGCGTACCAGAGTGAGGAGCTTGCCCCATCTTGACATGACAACACCGGCTATCAAGCCGCCAATAGGCGTGGCGAGGGATGGGATGGCGAGCCGAGCACCGGCAGCCGTAGCCGAGTCCAGCAACACAACTTGAAAGAATAGTGGAAGGTTGAAGAGGTACTGTTGATGACGATGTCAGCAAAACGTTAGGTCTAGGTGTGTATCTCGTGGTCATCAACGTACCGCGTAGGCTGACAACCCAACACAGATATTGGCAAATTCCACCAGCAAAGGGAATTTGCCCTTGATCAGACGCAGCGGAATGATGGGAATGGCCCGAGTCCTCGATTCCACCACCAGAAACAAGACGAACAAAACGGCACTACCCACCAAGGAGGCAATGACCCACGGACTCCCCCATGGCAGCTCATTCCCCCCAAGACTCAGACCAACAAGCTGAATAGAGATGGCCAAAACCAGCAGCAGTGCGCCCGAAAAGTCCACCTTGGTCCAGATATCTCGAAACCCCTGACCCAAGTCAAACCCTCCTTCGGGGTTCTTGATTACCAAGGCACCAACAACAAGAGCAAAAGCAGAGATGGGCACTTGCAGCAAGAAGCACCATCTCCAACCAATACCGTCGGCAATAGTTCCACCAAAAGAAGCACCACAAATAGCTCCAAATCCAAACATGCCGTTCTGAAGAGCCTGGTACATACCCCGTTTGCGGAACGGGATCATATCCGAGTTGACAATGGTGGCTTTTCTACACGTCAGTCCAACTTCTTCCGTTCCTCAACATTATCCACACGTACCCATAGTCATCAACCCACCACCCCCAAACCCAGTCAAAGCCCTCATACAATTAAGCAGCACCACATTCCCAGCAACCCCACAACCAAGACATCCCAATGCAAAAGTCACAGTCGAGATGAAGAAGCACACGCGGCGGCCAAAGATGTCAGAAACCCTTCCGTACAACGGCTGGAACGCAGTGCTGGTCAGGAGATACGACGTGGTAAGCCAGGAGGCATTGTTCGCCGCATCAAATTCGGAGCTGATGATGGCGTAGGTCGCTGCGGTGATGGTGCCGTCGAATCCGTACAGGAAAACATTCGACATGATGGCGACTTGTATCCAGAGGAACCCCCGAGGGGGCGACCATGTTTCCTCGTCTGGGGCACGAAGGAGGGGTTGGTCGTCTCTGATGCTGTTGAGGAGCTCATGGTCGTCCGTGTCGTGCCTCTCTATATCTGATGACGTCATTCTCGCTGTCGTGATTTCAAGAGGGAAGCGGCCTCTGGGACTGAACAATTCGGTCGCCTTGGAGAGAAAATATTCTGGCGCCGTGATCATGAAAAAGAGCAAGAGAAGCCAAGATTTTCAAACGCAGCATGGCGATGGTGTGCGAGCAAGGGTAGGGTCAGTTGTCTCGATATATGCATACATGCAATAAAGCGATTACAACAACCTCCCTTTCCGCTGAGTTGAGTCACGCCGGGGGATACCTGCATTCTAATTGCATTTGGATGCTACCTACATTTAATGTGTGGGTGTTCATCGAGATCATACCTCATGTAAATATTAATAACTCGCAGCCGGTCTCGGACAAACCCCCACGACCCCCTCTCTCTAACATGCATAACAAGAGGTTCACGGGCATAAAGAGCTGGTTATGGAGAAGTATCTCTTGGTTCAGCACCATGACGGCATCACTCTTTGTCATGAATTGATCGTTGACAGCAGAGCAGGTATTCTGACACTGGCATCAGAATGGGGCGGTATGGTGCGATTCTCAAAACTTCCTTTTTTGTTAACGTCGTTGGTTGTGGTGGGATACTCCTCGAGCCGGCGCAGCATTGCTCAACAATCAGCGGTCAGTTGGCCTCCGCATTAGAGGTAGGATCATCGGAGCTCTCCTGCGATTTCACACTCGACAACTAGGACACAATCGCAGATCAAATATGTCTGCGTTGAAGACGGACTGCCAACACTTCAAACACCACCAGCCAAACAAGAAAAGATCGTCGTAAAAGAATGCACTATTCATTGCAACAGGTAAAAGCAGAAAACCGAAGTCAATATCCAAGGACCAACCAAACCTACGATATACAAATCCAACCTACAACCAGCAAAACATCCTAATCCTTAACCAAGAAACTCCCCCACCACCCCCTTGCCCCCCTCAATGATATCCCCCACAATCCCCAAATACCCCTCCAGCACCCGCTCCGCCTCTTCCTTCCCAAACAACCGTCCATCATACCCCATCTTGAGCCTATGCCCCCCATTCCCATCCCTAAAAACCTCAAACATGATCGCATAATTCACATACATCGTCACCTTGCTCATAGCCATGACGATCCACCTCATGTGATCCTGCTCTCCCGGCGCGGGTTCAAACGGCTGGAACAAAAACAGCGTCTTGGCTCGCTCCGCCTCGGCATGCTTGTAGATGTCCCCCAGTGAAACAGACCCGTTCTCCGTCATGGCCCAGAACCCAGATTGCGTCTCCTTTAGCAGTGTTTGCACGCCTGTTGAGTTGTCCATCTGCGCGCGGAAGGGCAAAAAGTTGGCGCATGTCCCCGGGATAAGCTGGGGGTCGTCAAGGTCAACGTTTCGACCGGTCAAGAGATAGTCGTACGTCACATCTGGGGAGGAGGACTTGGAGAGGCGAGCAAGGAGGAGAGTGTAAGCAGCCTGGAAGACAATGCTGGCCGTCACGCCGGCAGACTGCGCGTAGGCATTGACAGGGAGACCGGTCTTGGCGACAACGACACCACTAACCTTGGGGTCATGAATGTGCGCGGGGAAGGAGAACCTATTGCCGGAGAGGGTCGACTTCCAAAAGTTGAGCATTGGCTCCCGAAGGCTCGGCAGGTTGGTATACTCCACAAATGTCTTGAACGAAGTAGGCGAGACGGGCATGGGATGACCATCGCGTAAGGCGGCGAATTGGTCGTCGAAGATGCGGAGCAAAGTCCCGTCATACATGGCGTGGTCGAGTTTGGTGACTAGGTCCATCGTGCCGTCAGGGTATCGGAGTACAAGGTAGCGCACAAACGGGCGGCCGACGGAGAATCGTTGGTCCCAGTGTCTGCGAACAAGTCTCTCCTTCTCCTCGCCATCAGGGGTCGGACAGTCAACCACTTCCAAGTCCAAGATGGGCTTCCTCAAGATAATCTGCACCCAACTGAGAGGGTCTGATTCGTCTTGCTTCATGTACATGGCGCGCAAAATCTGGTTAGCCTGCGTGAGCTTTTCTGTCAGGTTGATCCACCGCTCGAGGTTGAAACCAACTGGAAGACGCCGCACTGTCATCAACATCCAAAACTGCTCTTCGCTGTGACCCTGTGTCAGGAACTCCACCTGACCCGGGCCGCAGTGGTAGATGTCTTCCACATCATCATCCGACAGGCCAGAAGCTCCCAGCCTGTCTCGAACCACTTGCTTCACCTCAAGCTCCACCCCCTGATCGAGTGCCAAGTCCGCCATAATTGGCTTGACGCGCTGAGCTTGCTCCTGGAGAGAAGGATAGGTGACAACATCGTTGACGGACAGAGAGAAGCCTTGCTGACGGAGCATGCTGGCGAGATTGATAGCAGCGATAGAATCACCACCGTAGTTGTAAAAGAGTGCACTCAGGCTGATGCTCTCTGGTTCGACGTCGAATAACTCCGCCCAAGCATCACGGAGCGTCTTCTCTTGTTCGGTCAACTCTGAGTCGTCAATGAGTTGCCCATTCGTCGTGGGCATTGTCGTCGAGTAACCGGCTAGTGCCTTGGGGTCCAAACCTTCAGCAAGCTGAGCAAGCAGCTTTCTGTTAATCTTGCCTGACGGGAGGAGAGGGAAACCCTTGAAGGGCAGCAAGACCTTGGGCATCATGTAGTGAGCCAGAGACTGGAGTCGATCAAGGATCACGGCGGGATCGACGACGGCAGTCGAATAGATGCCACTGCTCTCGGCTTCCTTGTCTGGCTTCTCAACGGGCACAAAGTACACCACGATCTGCTTCTTGCGCTGAACTTCCGCCACTCCAACAACACACAACTGCACCACATCAGCAGCCTGGCTCAAGATGGTGTTTTCGATCTCGCCGAGCTCGATGCGAAAGCCGTTCAGCTTGACTTGGTTGTCTCTCCGGCCCAAGCACTCAATCTCCCCATTCGGTAGCCAGCGAGCGTAGTCGCCGGTGCGGTAGAGAACCGAACCATCCTCTGCAGTCAAAAAGGACTTGGCCGTGATGTCGGGGCGGTTCAGATACCCAATTGCAACCTGGTCTCCACTGACGCAAAGTTCGCCAACAGTCCCATGCGGGACGGGAACTAGCAACTCTGGGTGCAGGATAGACGCGTGCACAGCTTTCAACGGGCGACCGATGCTCTTCAGATTGCCGTTGGGCAAAACTTTGGAAACAGTCATGAGTATCGTAGCTTCGGTTGGGCCTACTTGCTGTTAGAATAAGGAGCTACTTGCAGTGGTGAAGAGAAAGCAACATACCATAGCCATTGTACACATCCATCCGAGTCGCCCAGACACTCGCAATCTCGGGTGTGATGGGCTCACCACAAACAAGCAATGTCGTCAGAGTTGGCACCCGTTCAGGGGAGATAAGCTTGGAGATGGTTGGCGTGATCATCAACTGCTCAGCCCCAACAGCATTGACACAAGCTGCAAGATCCTGCATCAATGTGTCCTGGTCCGTAATGGAGATGATACCGCCAGAACCGAGGACGGTGAAGACATCGAAGTAGGATGCGTCGAAAACATAGTTGAGGAACCAGAGAACATGCCAGCGGCTGTCGATACCACAAGCCTCAATCATGCCTTCAGTCGATGCCCCGACGGCGCCGTGGTGCACCTGCACACCCTTAGGCAGGCCAGTCGAGCCGCTTGTGTAGATGACATAGGCCAGATCATTCATAGAAGGCTCGGGCAGATCAGATGGCCTGTTCGCATGGCGGGTTGTGTCCACTGTGTCAAGGCTGATCACGTCGCCAGCAAACGAGTCAAACACCTCAGCGTGCACGCTATCGGTGATGGCGATGGTAGCCCCAACATCCCGCGCAATGAACTCATTTCTGTCTCGGGGGTTCTTGGGATCGAGTGGAGTGAAGGCAGCACCGGCTTTGAGGACACCGAAAACGGCAACAAGAGTGTTGATAGACTTGCGCATGCATATGGGAATAATATCGCCGGTCCTGACGCCTTTGGCTACAAGATGCCGCGCCAAGTTGACCACGGCGTTGCCGAACTGTCTGTAGGACATCGCGGTCTTGTGCTTCAGGTCGGAAGACAAGCCCTGCAGAGCCATCTTTTCAGGATACTGCGCGATCATTCGATTGACCAAAGTCAAGGCGGTTAGGCCAGGCTCTGTGGGACGGACCCTAGACAGAGAGTCCAGGAACTCGACTTCTTCTGTTGAGGTGGCGATGATATGACCGATAAGGACTTGGGGCTGTTCAAGAAAGGCCTTGATCGTCTCGGCAACATTGCCAAGTAAGAAGGAGGCTTTGTTGCGCGGCAAATGGGAAAGGAGACGCAATCTCAGGTGACCGCCCGTCGTTGCCTCTGCTTCGAGCATCGTCGTGTCGCCGACAAAGTTTGGCTCGTAGGGCTCAGAGCGCACAATGGGACCGTCTTGGCTCAAGGACTCTGCGACCTCGCTGTCCTTGATAAGCACATTGGCCAGGGTATCGTAGTGATCGGAGCTTAGGTTTGCCTCTCTCAGGATGTTGCGCAAGCCGAACTGAGCCTTTGGCGCGATGTCCCAGATGTCGTCTTGTATGGCCCTGGCGAGATCGATCAGAGACGTCTCGGAGTCTAGCTGGACACGGAAGGGGACCGTCGCAATCGTAGGCCCAGGTATGTCGAGAATTCCCTCTACGGGCATGTCACGGCCTGACAGCGTGACGCCAAAAAGTATGTCGTTCTTTGACGAGTGCATGGAGAGCACAACGGCCCATGCCGCGTAGATGAGGGAGCCAACAGACACTTTGTGTGATGCTGCAGTGGCCTGAACATCATGGGCGATGACTGTGTTCACCACGACTGCCTGGCCGGTCGTCTGCCCGAGAATGGTTGATGGGACGCCATCCAGCCTCTTCTGCCAAAACGCCGCGAGCTGTTGGTGCTCCTCTTGCTGCAGCTTCAAGACCTCACGCACAAAGTTGGCATAACCTGGCCGTTGTGGAAGCTGCTTTCCACTGAGCGCGGCTGACAAGTCGTCGATCAGAAAGTTGTTGGACCAGTGATCAAACAGGGCG